TCTTCCAGCGATCACCACCACCTTTTACTGGCAATCTGCCACTAGATATAGTTTCTCCCATTAAAGCTGGTGACTTTTAAGCAATAAATTGCTAATTTTGTGTCCATAATCCAATATGTATGTATGTATGTATGTATCTTGAGGGACTCTGTCCGTACAGGGACATTTTTTGGCATTCAGATTCAGTGAAACTAAGTCATACAAGATTATTCATTTTCCAGAATAACCGATCAGACATAAACCGAACATAAACAGTTTAACCGATTGATTTGTAGTTCCAAAATTTATATTTTATCATTTCTTTATGTTTTTGCACAGTTACAACCCAATTCAATGCAACCATGGAAAGGCGGACGCATCCGAATTTCAAGAAAAGTATATCCTTTCCACAGATTTATTACTGCTGAAAAGCTTCCGGATGAATCCGAAACTTCAAATTACCAACAAAGACGCAATGCAACAACAGAAATGACAAATGATGCACACCTCTTTTCGCAGATACAGAGTTTTTGCAGTGTCTAAAAGCTTTCACAAACAGATATACAGACAGTACACGGAGTGATGCTGCTCATCATCTAGTGTACTATTTGGCTCCCATCCGATTTTCTCTGAAAGAAAAGGGATCCAAGAAGAACGGCTAAGCCCGTTATCGCTATCGTGAAGAGAAGCCGTCTGTGCGAGACTTCGTTCCCTTGCCTTCTTCTCCTTCCGTTCGTCTCTCCTTCTTCCGCTCTCGCGTTCCTTCTGATCACAGAAAAAAACGCCCACAAGTGTTAACGGCAGGGCAAACACCATTTTATGCCATAGGAACAAAGGCTTAAGGCTGTAATAATGATCCGTAGGATCATGTCCATAATGCCTACAAGCTACATTGTGTATTTAAGGTTAATTGAACAAAGTGGCTTCTCCATTGCCAAGGGGTGAAACAAGAACAAGAAAGAAGCTCCCTCATGATAACGATAAAGAAAAAGCGAGAGAAAATTAGTCACTGCTTAATTACGAGGAAGGAACCAAAGTAATTTTTTAACACATGGTGTTGCTAAATCATGGACGCCTGCCTCTCAGAGCTCGTAAATCTAATAGTAAATCTAATCTTACAAAGCATAAGCTTGCTGGTCAACTTTGTCTTAGCCCGGATAATATGAGACGAGAGAGAGACTAAGTTTTTTTTTCCAGATCTTCAAAGCGTCATATACCGGAATGCTTCTAACTTTGAAACACTTAGAAGATTGAAAGTACGAAATAAAATGAAGTTAAATTAGAATATACCTGGATGATTCAACATTGTTGTCCACGATGCCAGGGCACCTAGTCTCGTGGTTATATCGTTCTCTCAATCTAACATAGCAATTGCACTGATAGCAAAGTTCTGTTCGATTACCGCATACTTCCTAAAATTTTAAAAAAAAAGGTAGATCAGGACCCATTCCTCGGTTTAAAAAAAAAGGGTAAAATCGATAAATTTTGCGTTAGAGTGCTTACCTGATGCTCAGCAAGATCAATGGCAGGCAATGGAAACTCACAAAATTCACATGTCACTATCCTCTGTGGACACTTTTCACCTTTATGAACGGCGAAAACCTCACGCTCTATGGTCTCATTACACAGCGTGCACGGTACCTTTGTAATGCAACATGAGGGTCGTAATAAAAATCATGAGAGAAGTAGCACTTAACCGCAATTTCAGACATCTAAACCCCGATCAGACTTAAGCTGAGACTGTAACAGCAACAACCAGATATTCGTAATTATTACAAAGGAAGACTTCAACACTCCGAAAACAAGCACAAGGCAAAAACTTGGCTGACTGTATCTAATAAGGATGAAGAAATTAATACACAAGGAACCAAAGTTATCAAATGCAACAGTGTCTCACGAGTTGTTCAAGGCCAGGTCAAGAGGAAAATTCACAAGCAGAACCACCATAGCAAAATATGCAACTCTATCTCAAAATCATATCTAGAGTACAACCTCAAGTATGAATTTTTTTCCAAGCTAACTAACACAGATTCTTGGAATCAGAGATACAAAGGTCTAGTAATATAGCACATATAACAAGTATGATCAGCAGAAAAATGAAAATTAACGTACCGGGGCATGCGTATTGGAAAAATGTTCCTCGGCATGCTTTTTAGGAACCATATCGCCACAGATCTTGCATTTGTCTAGATTCCGAGCACAATGCACTTGATGCAAATCAATATTCGCTGATGGAATATCTCTATCACTGAAACATTTAGCATTATTAGTACACTTGTTGAGGGACACTTAGGATTAACCATCAAAGTAAATGCTACATTGGACAATTCAAACCCATATTCCACATATTCGACAAGACAAAGCGCGATGAACATGAACACAATATAACAAACCAACCCTACTAATGCATCTAATCACAGCCAAGGGAACTACAGAAGCTAACCTTGGAAAACCAACAAAAGCATACAAAACTCTCAGTTGTAAATGGAAGTATAGCATTCGTAAAATGAAAAAGATGGTTTCTTGGCTTATGTATGGTGAATCTAGAGAACCAAATTTCGAAGAGTAATCACGATTCATTTCATCTCATTTCATTTATATATGAGTCATGTATTTTACCAGAGGCTATTAAAAAAGGCAACCAACAACATCCTGGAGGATTCATGATTCATCTTATATTATTACATAAGAGAAAAAGCCCCAACAAGTCATCTCTAAATATACTGTAACCACCGACAAATTCTTGCCTTAGCCAAAATATACATCCAAAGAGTGCGAGATCAGATGTATAAATTCGACCCACAAAATATCGCCAAACCGAATCCAACAAAACCACAAAATCTCACATGGTTGTGCAACTACCACGAAATCCCAAACTCAAAACCCAGAAAAATTCTCAATTACTCGAAACTTTCAGACCCACGACCGGCAGTAAGAGAAACGGGGCCGACAACACCGATCGCGCTGCCGTGTCCGAACATCGAATCGGATCAAACCACGGAACCAAACTCTAGCAATCAAACTGTTTTCGGAGAATCGTACCAGTGACTGCAAACGATGGTGATCTCTCCGGTAGCAGTCGACATCGGCAACAAAGCAAACAGCAAACTTTATCAGAATCAAACCAAACAAAAACACAGACCAGAAGATGGAAGGAAGGAAGCACGGAATCTGAATCGTGGAGAAGAAAATTTGCAGGAACTATGAATCAAACACGGAGCTTTAAATTTCGTTTCACGAGCTTCCTCAATTTTCCCAAATTTTTCAGATGCGAAAACGAGAACATTTAATAATCAGAGAGAGATTGAATTTAAATTATATAGTTCAACCAAACTTATGACCCTTATAGTATTTTAATAAAGATAAAAATAAAATAATATTCTCCCCACGCGCGCCTAAGACGCGCTCATGTAGTACAGCTTGTTGGATCGTAGCCGTACACGTGGCCTTTCTTCCACTTTGCAGCCGAAAGGAGTATAATGGGCCCTTCAATTTCCAATCTTCTAAGCCCAAATATGGTTGAGCCCAATCTAATTCGTTTGCATTTAAGCAACTTCATTTCGGCATCCCGTTTTTCTTTTATATTTGGTTTTGGATATTTTCAATATATATATAAATTATTTTCATCATTTTTATATCAATTTTCTATTCATTTTTCAATATTTTCTTATTTTGTATAAGGATATTTCTATTTATTCCGTTTTCAAGTATATTTCTATGTTCGAATCTTTTATTCATAAAATTACATCAATTCAATGTTTAAATAAAATATTTTCATCTTGTACATTTTATGTTTGTTTCAGATATTTTATATTTATTTCTTTTTCTAATCAAATTTTATTCATAAAAATTATAATGATTCATTTTCATATCAATTTTCTACTCGTTTTTAGGATATTCTCTGTTTGATTTCGGATATTTTTACATTTCGTTTATATTTTATTTCGAATGTTTTTATATTCATTTTTTATTCATAAAATTATATCACTAAGATCAATTTTCCATTCATTTTGAACATTCTTCATATCGATTCGAATTTTCAATTTAATTTTAAAAGGGTATTTATGTTTACTTTCTTTATTTTTCAATTATAGCGTATTTGTGTTTACTTTCTTTATTTTTCAAGTTATTTCATATTCAATTTGTATCCGATTAACTTAGTTTTAAAATATCATATGTAATTATATTTTAGATCAAATTCAATTTGAATATATTATATAATAATATTCAGTTCCTTTTGAACTAATTCTCATTCTTCCCAATCCCATCCCATCCCATCCCATACAATGAGATTTTCATGAGAAATCAATCAAATTCACTATAAGAATAAAACCCAAAATAGCATTGAATGGAATGCACAACATATGGCCATGGGGTCGGTCGTGTACTCAATTTGCATATATTTTTAGTGATTTTCCTATATGTTTTGCTATAATCCAATGAAAATAATGTCAATAAATCATATCCAAAAACCAAACTTACCATCGGAAATTATTGAGAGTTTATATAATAGTAGATTAGTTTATAATATAATCAGTAGAATGTCAAGAAATAATATTTGAAAATAATTGTGGAGAGTTCATAAAAAAAAATAGAATTTGAGTCATTTGAGGAAAGGGGGAAGGGGAAAAGAAGAAAGAAAAACATAGTTTACACAAGTTGCTTGATTGATTAATGCAGAATTTTTTATAAATAAAAAAAAAAATTAAAAGGCAGGACAGCCTTCAACTTCAACTCCTTCGGCAGTAGGACAAGAAGCAAGGGGGCAGTTCTCGCCATTAGAACCCCACCAAGAAATGGATATGTCGTTCATTGACAATGTGAAGTAAAGAAGCACTCCCATGAAAGCTAAACCAGCATCCAATGCGGCAGACAGAACATAGTTATACCTCTGCCACCAGCTTTTCCTGTACTTGAACACGAAATAGTTGAATATAACACCGATAATGATCCAGCAGTTGAAGTTTACGCTCGTTGCGGGTGGCATTGCGGCCGTTGACCCGAGAAGAACCGGAAGATTGATCTGAGATATCCATTTTTGGTTGGGAAACGCTTTGTGGAGAATCCAGACGATCAGAGGTCCTAGTGCACCGAAGAGGAAGAACCAGTTGAGCTCGGGGTAATTTCCGAGGTTTCCAAAGATTCTTCTCGGCCCGACTAATCCCCATATCACGGAAGCGTCGAAGAACACTCTGTCACCTGGACATGTCCACGGACTGTTTGGAGGAAGCAACTCTTTCTGACATATGTTTTCCACTGTTGTCAGCAAGTACCATGCTACTGATACGTTCACTGTCCCTGCTATGATAGTTCCTATGAACTAATTTTAAAAACAGATCCAAGAAATAGATCAGGATGTTTCAGACTACAAGAAATGATGGTGTTAGATTGTTCAAGAACGGATAAACGGGTCAATACCTGGACTAAGAACATCGATCTTGGCGGTATCTTCATGTAATGACCTAACTTGAAGTCATTGAGAAATGTAATGGCCTGTGACATGCTTATGTACCCATATGTCTTGAAACAGACATTAGCTATTGGTCGTCCAGGCAACAAGACACCCATGAGATATTCAGTGATTATGTTCAAACCCGGAGTCTGTTCAGTTCGAAGCAATCCAGAAAAAATGTTCAGAGAGAAAACTTGTTACAGAACTTACAGAGTCGGTATAGGTCTTGAGATCGTCAAAGCTCAAACAGATTTATGAAATTTAGATTTGAGTACCTGATTTGTCGTGGCGGTGATAATGCTGACCGGAACAGTGAAGGTTATGGCCATGACAGATGCGAGGAGGAGCCCCCACCATGGCATCTGGACCTGATCCTTCATGAATATGCAGAGAACAAGAGATAAAGCCAACGAGCCGATAAGCAAAGAGTGAAACCACCAGCTCGGAATGTCCTTATACTTCCTCATCAATCTTGTGTGGATATCCACTTTGTCCGAAGCTGAAGCTCGCAGTTGTTGCAGAATCCCCCTGAAACAAAGATTATATTCTCATCGAGAATCCATAAGAAGAGAAGCCGAGATGATAAACACAAAGTACACAAGAAGAAGAGCACCGAACTCACTTTCCATTGAACAGGGCTACATGAGTTAGTGTCGAGACAATTGCAGCGAAACCGATCCCATAAGTGAGAGAGAAGAACGTGCTGAGGTAAACCCTGCCCTCTCGGCCGTACGAAGGAATGTCGAGTTCAAACTCATCGTTCACAATGGCTGAAGTATTGTAAAGCTGCCCTTTTGAATCGAACAGATCAGAGGAGAAAATCGGGAACTTTTTGGCGTCATACATGTTTACGCCCCAATACGCTATCGGGATAAACATATACATGACCAACACATACCCGACGATAACGTTGACAATGGCGAAAAAGGGAGAAATAAGAGGGCTGCCAAGGTAAGAAGCTATGACAGACCAATCAAGAGCGAAAGCACCGAGACCGAGACCAGACATGCCTGAACCTATTTGCTGTGCAGTGACTGACTTGGGGAAAACCCAGCAAACCCATGAGATGGCTGATAATGTCGGAAACAAGTAGCCAGGGAAAATGTACCAGGCAAAGCTGCAAAGGAAAGCAATCAAGAAGAATTTCCCCCGAGACATCCTCTGGGTGTCCTTCTCGTGGAGAGCACTGCATTATACAGACAAAAAAACAGAACAGAACACCATGATTTTCTTCCACTGAGACAATATCATAAACAAGAGATGGGCATTCAGATTTTGTAAGAGTCTTACCGAAAGAGAGAAACTTGAAGCAGACTACTCGGCCACCACATCTGGGCAGGTTCAACCAGGAGCCTTCTCATAATACCTGCCCAACCATACCCAAGAACCTGGCGCGGAAGATCAAAGCGAATCAAAACACAGAAACTTACAAAATGTTACAGAGAAAACCCAGATGATCATTCTGCAAAAGCTGTAAGAGAATCTCAACTCAACCTGGGTTGTAATCACAAGCAACCAACTGGCTAGAAAACTAATATTTCTCTTGTAAAAGGCCTTGATGATATCGACGATGCCGACGGCGTAAGCCGTACCAGAGCCGTACCCAGCACCAGCATTGGCAAACATCGAGATCAGGACATGTTCCTTGACATTGAAGGGACCAGGATTGAGAGAAAACTCAAATGACCCGACCCGGAACTTCTTGTCGGGTAAAACACGAGCCATCATCTTCCCGATCGGTAAAGTCACAACTTGAATCGAGATCATGGAGATCATGAGAGGCTGAGTCCTGTACCCGAAGAACGTGTTGAGGAAGGAGAGAAGAACGCAGGAAAAGAGGCCAAGAAACCACATTCGAAATGTCCAAACGGGCAAGGACGGATCATCGTGGTTCGGAACCGTGAGACGAACCTCCTCAACGGGAGATTCGTCGTTATCGCCTTCTTCTTCATCGATCACTGGCTTCTGCAACTCGAGAGCCGCCATTGGAGGAGGACTAAGAGGAGATTGTCGATGGTTTATTAGGGTTATGCTTCCCCTTTTTTCCCCCTTTTTTGGGCGAGATTGTAACAGAGATTTGAGGATATGGTGAAGAGATTCAGTCGATATATATGTACGTGTCTGTGTCCTGATCTCGTTCGGATTCTCTGGTCTGTTTTTGGCTTCTCTCACTAAAGACCCGGATAAACATGACGCTGTAGTTTCCTACTCGTAAGCAGTCTCCTCACGCGGGAAATAAAACCGGGTCGGGTATTTTTTATTTATAAATTATTATTTATTATATTGGTTTTATCATTTGTGTTGTATTGTAGATTTATTTCTAAAAAACGAGTGTCTATATTTTTTATATTTTAGTCCATTTAAAGTGTGAATTTGTACGTTACTTTTTATTCATAAATTAACAAAAATAGAAAGATTGTTTCGGAATATATATATATATATATAGATAGATAAATAGAATATTCCACAATGGGTTTAGGGTTTGAATGCATGAGTGAGATGCTTCATATATTCATGGCCAAGAGAAAGGAATCTATGCTAATTGTGCGTTGATTAGGTAATTCAAGAAAGGAAGATTCTGTAATCATATCAGATACATAGGCAAAAATATTTTTCATATCTATTTTGGAATATCCTCATTTCCTTTTAGAAAAATCATATCAAATATAATTTTAAAATACAAAATCAACCGGATATAACCTGACAATATTGTATTTATAATTTTTTTTTGGTCAGATACCCATCGTAAACCATCAGATGGCATCTCAATAAAGTTTTGAGTAACGTTTAGTTGGTTAATAATCCAATAATCGAATTTTTAATCATAATCAAATCGAATTAGATATAAAATCGAGTATTAACGATTTCTATAAAATAGAAAAAACTGGATCCAAACCTAATAAAAGAATAACTGAAAAAATAAATTGTAGTTTTCTTTTAAAAAAAATTGAATATTTTTACCCGAATCGAAATATAATCGAATTGAATTCGAGCCAAACCCAAATAGATCACCCTGGTGATCTGGGATTAGAAATTTGAATTTTTATTTAATAAAAATAATTATATAATTCATTATTATCATTTTTAACTTTAAAATTTCACATAAGATACAACAATGGGAGGAAGGAAGGAAGAATAATCGATTAGAAACAATGGATTTTTAATTTACGATTGACTTCAAGAATCAAAAGATGAGAAATTTCCAATTTACGAATATCGTCTCTTAGGTTTCCCTGCGAGGAATTAATCCGTCATGGAAGCGTAATCTCTGCAAAATCGAAAACAAATAAAAAAAAATGTAAGCAAAAACTTGTAACTTTAAAATCCAAAAGATAGATTTGATTGATGTTCCATAATATTTGAGTTTGGTTTTGTAAATTAAGATTATCTAGAATTTGGGTTTGATTTTAGATTTTACATATGATTACAAACGATCATTCATATTCATTGTAAATTATAAAATCATCATTAATCTTTCTTAAAACTATGAAATAAAATTATCCATTTAAAAGAAACTCGAATTCATATATCGGGTATATAATGTTTTTGGATCCAACTAGTATACATTAGAAATATCGAGGGCGAATTTTAAATTTTTAGATTTGGAACGTTATTCAATATGGATCTTTGGAATCGAACTGTATCGAACCGAAAAAATATGGTATTTTTTCGAACCGAACCGTTTAAAATTATCGAATGATATTTTTTTTAAAAACCAATTTTTTTCTAAAATGAACCGAACAATTTTTTTTAAAAAGAATCCGAAAACTGAAAAAAAATAAAAGATCTAATTTTTTTAATAAAAACCGAAATCGAAACCGAAACAAACCGAATATAAAACTGATTAGTATATATTTTTGTAAAATCGCAAAAAAACCGAACCGGACGATTTTCAAACCGAATCTGAACCGAATACGAAAAGGTCACCCTAGATATCATATTCATATTCGACCCATACTCTAAATCCGTTTGATTAGACGTCGGACCAATGTAATGATATTTATTTATAAACGTTACGACGTTTTGTTACTACTAACCTTTTGTGAATGACCACAACGGTGCGGATTTCGCAGTTATCAAACCTGTCGGATAAAATGTTAGATCCGTAATTTAGAAAATTTCTTCGATTTTTTAATAAAAAAATCAAATGTTTTGTCAAAAAAAAGAAAAAGAAAAGAGATCGTCGACGATGCTAACCTCTTACACAAGTCATGTCCCGTGGGAACATGGGAATCGCCGGCGAGACCGTACAAAACATGTCGCAACATCATTCCATGGCTTACAATTGCGACCTCCTTTTCGGGTCTTTTCCATAACCTATGCTCCAGAATACATCGCTATATTAACAGTCGAACGAAAATTCTAACGTCTTATAGTATAATATATATATGTATATACTTTTTTTAATTATATGGTCAAAATTAAGGGTTAATTACCATTTCATGAATTCAGTTCCTCTAGCTAATAGCTCTTCTTCGGACTCCTGGACGTCAATTTTCCAAAGTTTGTCCTCTTCATCTTCCATCTGTATATATATATATATATTATCGAGAAAAGAGAGTGGGGGAAAAGGGTTATATAATAAACTTTCGTTTTATAAATGCGTTGGTGCGTAAAACAGTCATCATTCAAATAAAATGTAGATGGTGATTAATGATTATGATGAATTTGCTCACATATAATAATGAAGATCAAATTCTAAATACAAAGCTTCGTAAAATGTGTATACAAAAAATGCATTGGGCGAATACTTTATATTATTCTTCTAGAAATTAACACATCACAGTCTAACTGATAATATAGTCATAAAATCGTCTTAATATAAATGAACCTAATTAATATTTATAACTGGTAATAGATTTATAATATCGTCGTAATATAATTTATATCTATTTATATATCATAATCGGAGGAAAAGAGCAACCGAGGCGCCTGCCTGAGAGAAATCACTTTAGGTCGTCGACGTTGTAAACCCGTGCACCTTCCACTTCAGCAACACATGACCCGACATTTCTCGGGACTGAGATATCGACAAAGAGCCTTCTACCTCCAACCTCAGGACCAACAGAGGGAAGATCTTGTACTTGCTCTCTCAGGAACAATGGAGTCTTGGAGGCTGTGCTCGTAAAGATAACATCCGATTCTGCAGCAGAGGCAAGCATCTCGTCGAGGGGTTTGTATATAATTTCAACACCCTTCATCTCCTCACGGATAGGGCATTCGCTCACATCTCTCCTCATATTAGCCGGGCGAAGTCCCTGCAGTTTATATATATATATATATCAAAGATGCGTTAAATAAACGAACGTAAAAATTATGCCGTTAATTAAAAAGGCATACGATGCGGTTTCGAGCAAGCTCGAGAGCAACAATGGGAGGGCTGCTGGTAACAAGAGACTCATTCTGGCTTCCGAAAACTCCGACGGCTGTCTCCATAGCCCTAAATACATTCATGGAAACTCATTAGAATTGAAATTAGGGATGGACAATCGGATTCGGGCTAGGGTTTTATTATGTTTCGAAAACATTTGCCCAAATTTGATCCGAGTGTATATATTAGGGGTGTCAGTGTCTTGGATCAAAACGACTAGACCCGGAATAAACCCGAATTCGGGTTTGGATTTACAAAAAGGAAAGGGACAAGAGTCAAAGTATCAATATATGAATAGAGTGCATAAAATCTGAAACCCGACAAGGTAATTTCAAGATCCTAAGATCGGTCCGGTTTGAACCAATTTTTGTTAGGTAATTTCAAGATTATAAATGAAATTAAAACTTTCTCAAAGGGGGTTTAAGGCGACAGCGAGAACATTTACCTCGACAAGGGTGAAGTTATAACGAGCTCAATCCTCTTCATTACCCCGTTTTCTATAACTCGCTTACGCAAATTCTCGACCTTTTGGACAAAAGCATTATAGTGAGATAAGGCACAATCTTGTGTGCTTTTTTTGCTCGAGGAAATCAAGATATAATTAATAGAAATATTTGAGTTTTAAAAGTAAAAAGATACGAAAGCTAGTGAGTCAGATTCTTATAAAAGAAAAGCAAATAAAAACATAAAGATTAATGAAAATTATTCAAATGCTTTTGGATTATGATATCATGTCAAGTTTCGGATTGAGGGTTTTGGGTTTTAAGATTCACCTGTCGGCGACCGAGTTCTGCAAGAGGGGCGTCGAAGAGATGAGGAGACAAAACGGCATCCCTATCCTTCTGTGCTTCAACGTTGTTCATCGCATGTCCATGCCTCACCTTGTTTTTAGTGGTAAATCATTAGAAATCAAAACACAGTTTTTTATTCGAATGTTGTGTGTCTTTAATTACAGGACAATATTACTAGCTAAGGGTTATATTAAATTGAAATCAACAAAGGATTGAAATATATATGGCCCGACGGAAGACGTACGAAGTGTATAATTTTGCAGCTCTGCAAAGGGTACATGAACTTTGCTTCCATTTCTGCATATATTCACATAAATAAAAAGATTGCATTTATAGGCATGATATATATATATATACACACCCCCCGTCGAAAATGTATTAAATACTAGGTTAATTTAGATTAGATATCATCAAACTAAATCTAGAGTCTATATAGTATATAAATATAAATTTAACCAAAAAAAAAGTATATAAATATAAAGAAACGTACGAAAATATGTTTAGAATCATACCTGTAAGACTGTAGTCGGAGAGAGCAGAGGATTGTCAGTATAGAATTAAATTACGGGCCGCGTATATGAACTTCCCTAGTTTTTTTTATATTTATTTTAAATTGATTTAGAGATGGCATATATATAATTTCTTTATATACTCGAAAGAGTCAAACACTAGAGATTGAATTTGTGGGTAAACTTTTCAAACGTTCGACTTATTATATTCTAGAAATTTTCGTATACTGACGTAAAACAAGGTTCTACGTCGATGAATATTTTCTCCGTGTTTAGTGGAATTCTCATATTACTTATGCGCCGCGTTGCATGCATGCAATACCCATTTTTCTACGTACACCTCTCCATATATCAAATTTTTCTACCCTTTTTTACGTCAAAATAAATTAAAAACAAATATAATAATGACAAAAAAAAATCTAAAAAAAAAACACTGGACTTTTCAATTTTGACAAAAAACACAATAAATTATTGTAAATTTTCTTATAATCAATGCCGTCGATTTGTAATTAATTCATAGTTTAATACCCATGTATATATTTGTTATTTGCTAATTAATTAATATTCTGATAAACCATGACTGCGTAATTTTTAGTTTGCATGTTTCACGTACGGAAAGATATTTTTATGATATTTAAAAATATTCATACTCTCGTTTCTGTTCCAAATTCTTGACGATATTTCTTAATTATGTTTTCACATTTTTGCTTGGACTTGCTCTCTTTAGGGGTGGGCACGGGTCGGGTACCCCCAATTTTTAGAAAATCCCGTCTCGTCTTCATCATTACGGGTTTTACAAAAACATTATCTCATTCTTGGCTTCATAAAATCCGGGTACTTGTAGCTCGGGTTTAATAAGATTCTCGATCTTGTACTCGCGGGTACCCGGATCCATACGCCTTATAAAATTTTGAACTATGAAATGATAGATATACAAAGTACAAATGAGATATGTCAAAGTATAAAGAGAAAAAAAGTTTACGAAAAAGAGAGATGAGTAAAATTTTGAGAGAAAAATAATGGTTGATTCGGTTGCATAGAATAAGATTTGGAATGTTAGAATTTTTGTATAGAAAGGTTTAGAAGATAAAAAATGAACTAAAATAAAAGTATTTTAATAAATAATAAGAATAATTTAGACAAAAATATTATAAATATAAAGTATATTTTAGATTTTTAACAAATATATCGGGTACCCCGGGTACCCCTTGTAAAATAATTGAACCCCCACTCGGATTCACAGGTCAAAAATTTGGCTTTATTAATACTCGATCTCGTTATCGTTAATATTCAGGTACCCTTTATTCGGGTACTTGTTAAGCCGGGTACCTCTAAACCCCCGGGTTACGGGTTAAAACGCCCACCCCTAGCTCTCTTTGGTTGCTCGTATCCACGACATCCATTGGCAGGGTGTAAAACAAGCCTGACTCGTGGTTTGGTTCGCGAGGTAGATCAGATTTTTTCGAATCGAGCTCAAAATATTTTAGTCCAGAAAAAAAATAGATCAAACGAGCCAACTCGTCACGAAGCAGGCTTGTGGCGGGACACCTCGGCGAGTCCACGAACTGGCTCGTGAGTCGGGAAAAAAATCTTTTTTTATATATTTTTAAATATTTTATATAAAAATTATATTTTTATTAGATATTTAGTTTATTTTATTTAAAATTTAAAATTTTTATTATATTTATAATAATTTTTAATATTTATAATAATTTTTAATATTTAATTGTTAAAAATTTGGCCCGCGAGGTAAGATGGTTTTAATTGAACTGATCAATTTTTGGCTCGGTAAAAAACGGGTCGGATTGGATTGGGCTAAAATATTCTGAGTTCAGAACGGGCGAATGGACTGGATTGGACCAGCTTATTTTACAACCCTATCTATTCCATTCGATCGTAATTACTATTGCATGTCTTTTTTTGTTTGAAATATTAATTCAACTCCAATTTTTAAATGAAAGAATCTTTACTTTGGACCGTCTCAATCAACTTTATGTGTTATATAATATATGACCAAAAATTGACTCTACCCATAATTGACTTTGGCTCTTAGCATATGCGTAGAAAGTTGTGCATTTTTGTCTATATTTCACACGTCACGTAGACCCCATTGGACACTCCATTGCAATCGGATTTTTTTTTAATAAAATAAATGAATCCATATGGGAATCTTATAATATGTCAATATAAAGAATGGAACTTTCAATGTTTTTTTTGTTCTTTGTGTACTTAAAATCTCAATATTTGAAAAATCATATTTCTTTTATTACTTTTTTAAGTTTGGTTTCACTTAATGAAATTGTTTCTCCGGAAAATATCTTTCCGAAATCTTTTTTTCACCGAAAGGCTGCATCTTCACTGACTTTCCAAATTAATATATATATACACAAAGTTTCATGATAATATAAATAGAGAAAATCTTATAAAAATATCAAAATTTGCCTAAATATATAAATTTCAAAATGATAAAATAAATACCAATTTTAATTTATTTATACCAAAATAGATACTAATATTACTATAAATTAACATTGTAATCGATTTGGTATCTATTCGGTACAAACCGATAAATCGATGTATTTATTTGATAATTTAGAAATTGGGATATTTATATAATATATCTAGACAGTTTTTGGTGTTTTTTCATAAAAATATTATGTAATATTAAAAGATCAATCTGTGAAATGCCAGAACCATATTTTATAGAGTAATTACCATTTTCCACCGAAACCATTGAACGAAGCATACTATTTGTGAAATGCCAGAACGATATTACGAAAATAAACTTCGTGGAGCGTCACAAAGACCCTTTGGAATTTACTTGAATTATAGAATAATTTGATGCATTTATCAATTCAGTAGCAAACGCATTGATTTTTTTTATAAAAAAAAAGAATCATAAAAAAAATCCAATAATTTAAAGGTTAAAATAGTCCAATTAAGAACAACAGGTTTGAACTGAAAGAAAAAGCATCAAACACAGGACGAAGGCAGACGTCATTCTCTATAACCGCAAAGTGGTAAGCTCATAAACATTACGAAAAGGTAACAAACCCAAGACTCTTGTTTTCCCGCGAGCCAGAAACATGGAACAAAGATCTCTTTCACGACATTTCCTATCATTAATAAACACTTGCTTTGATGCGGATGAACATTAGAAGCGTCTTTCCTCGCGGATAAATGAATCGATAGATCCTACTCGGGACCTATACAACGAGTATATAACCCGGTAAGATCACTCTCTTACCCGGGTTTCTCGAGGTGGGACTGAATCTGAATCTGAAACCGAAACTCTTGTTCTTGTCCGAAGAGATACCTAGTACTTTACTTCTGCCCAACCTTTGCCCGGATTTTTTCCTCCAATATCGATAATTCTGTCTCGAGCCCGTACATTCTGTTCAGGGCGTGCATGTTCTCGAGGGTTTCGCTCAGAGTTCTACTGTCACCACCATCGCATCTCAAGTGCTGCATCGGACCGTGTAGAAGTTTGTTCACGATTCCCCGGCTGAGATCATCCACTGCTTTTTTTGTCTTCTTGTCGAGGTTGTCACCCATTTTCGACAAGCATTTCTCGAGCTCTGCAACTCTTATCCTCTCTGCGTAAGCCCTAAGTTTCTTGATTGTCGGAACTGTCTCCAATGAATCCCTCCAAGCTTCAAACTGCTTCGATTCCTCGGCAATAATGGCATGAGCTTCCATTGCTTTCCTTAGCCTGTCCTCTTTATTGGCAGCAACTACTTCCTTTAGGTCGTCGACGTTGTAAACCCGTGCACCTTCCACTTCAGCAACACATGACCCGACATTTCTCGGGACTGAGATATCGACAAAGAGCCTTCTACCTCCAACCTCAGGACCAACAGAGGGAAGATCTTGTACTTGCTCTCTCAGGAACAATGGAGTCTTGGAGGCTGTGCTCGTAAAGATAACATCCGATTCTGCAGCAGAGGCAAGCATCTCGTCGAGGGGTTTGTATATAATTTCAACACCCTTCATCTCCTCACGGATAGCGGCAACTTTCTCTTCACTTCGGTTCACAACCACCATTCTTGTGCAGCCCTTTGCAACCAAGTGTTTAATTACGAGCTTCCCCATCTTTCCTGCTCCGATTACCAGCATCCTAGCAGATGCATGGGAAGATTCCGGAAGCTTCATCAGAGCAAGTTCAACAGCAGCTGAACTAACCGAAACAGCTCCAGCAGCAATATTCGTCTCTGTTCTGACACGTTTTCCAACCGTGATCGCGTGTTTGAACAGCCCACTTATGCTCCTTCCAAACCCATTGACTCCTTGCCCGACTTTAACGACTTGTTTAACCTGTGCAAGGATTTGACCTTCCCCAAGAACAAGGGAGTCAAGACCAGCCGAGACTTCGAAGAGATGCTGGGTCGCGTCCTTGTTGTACAACAGAAAACGGTGGTCGCAGATCTCCGAAACTGGGATCCCACTTGTCTGAACAAAAGAAGTAAAGAGGATCACTTAGCATTTGCAGCTGATCCCAACACAAAAATGAATCCACTTTCAGAAACTAAACACAGGTTTCCACAAAACCCAAACCCGTAACTCCACTTCGAATTGGTTAAAACCTAACAATAACAATCACAAATCGTTCTGATTAGTTCAAGGACTTCGGGCCAAAAGCACGGGAAAAGGAATCACCTTTGACATCCATTCCGTAACTTCCTTGACTCCACGGTGCTGAGAAAGAGCCAGAACGTATATCTCCATCCGGTTGCAGGTGCTAAGGACAGCAGCTTCCTCAATGTGATTCAAACCGCACAATTCTCCGATAGCTCGAGGCCATTCAGCTTCAGGAATGGCGAGCTTTTCACGCATTTCAACAGGAGCCGTGTGAACGCTGAGCCCAATCACTATAATACTGCTTCTTTCCTTTGTATACCCTTTGTCACCCACAAACAATGAGATCATTATTCAGGGAAACAACAATGGCGAAGTTGGCTTCTATACACATTACAGAGTCCTTTACATACAATCTGAAAAACAATATAATGCGCCTAAATCATGAAGACTGACAGAAAAGAGAAACCAAAAGAGCCTAGAGATGAAACGTCATGAAACTAAGTATATGACATAAACAGTAAACCAACTCAAATCATCCCTCTTCATGATTATAGAATTTCGAATTCCACAAAGAAAAATCAAAGTTCAATGCTTTAATTTTGAGTGAATAGTGAATTCCAACAAAGAGGGACGCGATCTAAACACCGAATTCGTAGTGAAAACCCCAAAGATCGATGAAAGCCAAAACAAATTTCTAGCGATGAGGGTCAGAAAAACAAAAATTGCAATCGGGAAAACCGAGGGAAGAAGAGCAAACAATCGTACTGTCAGCGGCGGAAGACTTGAGCTGCTCAAGAGCGGAGATGCTGGACGCCATGGACGCTGAATCAGAGGAAGAGAGTTCGCAACGCGCTTTCTGGATAAGAACTTTCCGGCTCCGATTGTTCCTCGGAAGAACATGAACACCGAGGAGACACAAATTGGTCAACGAAGACGACGACGAAAGGTGATGATGTTGATTCAGAAACAAGGTCTCCAGCTTCGGACCAACGACAAACGCACTGGAAACAGCCATAGCCCCACACCGATCTCTCTCTCTCTCTCTCTCTCTCTCTCTCTCTCTCTCTCTCTCTCTCTCTAAGGGAAACACCCAAATCCTAGGAATCTGGAATGGGAGCGAACAAAGAGAGAGAGAAGAGGAAAAGGAGATAAATATGAGAATTGGAGATAAAATTCTTCTCCTGATCGAATCCGGCGTGTGGCGTAGTTGAAAAGGAAGAAGAGAAGGTTGAGGTCGGATCCGGGTCAGGATCCGAGACGGGTCAGAATGTTGACCAATTTGTAGATTTTTTAAATAAAATAAATTATTTAATTTTGTGATAAATAGATGAGAGAGAATGGGATTTTGGTGAAATGTGATTGGGCGGGTGGAGACCACGTTTTATCCCCACTTGATTTGTTCTCGTGGAATTTAATTCTTCACAATTTTAACTTCACAATTTTATTTTCTAAAAAACATTATATATATACAGATTTATATTATTAATTCTCCAATTGGTTATTTTTCTAGAAAAAAGGTTATCTAGTAAACATATTGTTATCATTTTCATCCTATAGTTAGATTAAAAATATGATATTGAATTGATTGATGTATTTAAATTTATAAAATCCATTATTACCCTTGAGTTTATTCATAAATAAATAAATAGATAATACCATCAAATAACAAAATTGTAATTTATACAAAATCTAAACAAATCGTCTCTCTATGATGTACATCTCTCTTTTAGGATTGGGCCAATAAGGTCCATTTGCAAAAGCTCTTGACATATTTGTTCACGTCTTTTTGGACCGAGGCCCGTCTATTTCTTTTTTCACCAATATTATAAATTTATTGACCGTGTATATTATCGATATTTTTTTTTATACAACCTGAAATTGCTTAATTCATTTAACAAATATTAATCTATATCTATTAAATAATAATTATAAAATAATCTTAATGTGATAATCAGTAATTAAATAAAAAGTAACAGTTTTGATTAAAAATGCGCAATTAATTAAAGCTGATAAATTTATAGTATTGCCGATTAATCAATTCGACTATCCACATCAATGAAAGTGAAAACTTGTCAGTATGAATAATAATAATAATAATAATAATAATAATAATAATAATAATAATAATAATAAACTCACAAAATGGTCACCAAAACGACAGTTCATCGTGTGTGTATATATAAACTATATATTGCTATTTTCTTTTAAAAGTGTATTGCAATGATTGTGTGTGGGTCCAAATTCTAAGAAATTGTAATATTTAATCATAGAGGATGTAATGCAATGGTCATGAATCATGCTTGTATTTCTGACACTTTTAAAAAAAAAATAAACAAATAATAATACTAATAATCATTGTCATAATCATATAAAATTTGGCAATTTAATGCCACGTGTTTGTTGCACTCTAATTTTATATGAACATCTTCATATCATATGCCTATGAACCATACATACATACATACATACGTACGTACGTACATATATAACGACCATTTAGGATAGTTATTTGTTTTTTTATGTGTTAGATTAGATGTTATAAAACTTATATCTATTTTATTTTGGAATTCGAATTTTATATGAAAATATATATATTTATTAAATTTTGTGTCGGATTTTATTATATTTGAATTCAATTTTGATTATAAAATTATAATTTTTATATAAAAAATAGTTTTAGTTTCTTATTTTACAATTTCCTTTTCAATTTGTTTTGATTATATTAATTTGATTTTTAAAAAATATTTTCAATCAAAATTTAAATAAATCTTGATTCAAATATGATTCTATGTTATGTCTGATAGATGTTTATTAATATCTCTAATTCTTTTGCAGTAGGTTTTTTGTGTAACAATTTATTGGAATTGGTAATTCCATGTGAGACGATCATTTCCTGACCCACATGAACAAAATCTTGGATAATGTGCTTTGGCACAAAGTTGGCTTTTGATTGAACAGTGTCACACTAACCACTACCCCAAGTGACCACCTCCATGCAATTCACGAGGGATAAAAATTGTTTGGTACTTGAATTTTAAAATGGTGAAAAAACATATTTTTAAACTTTTTTGTTAAACAAATTTATTCCAAAATTTATAAAATATATAATTATAATTTTTAAATTTGTAAGATGTGTTATTATAATTCGTAAATTTGTTATTTGGTATGGAAAATTTTTTTGACGATAATGATTTATATATTAGTTAGAGAATTATAATGATATATTTTGTAAATTTGAGAATTATAATTAACGTATAAATTTAGAAATAATTTTATTAGACGAAAAGTTTAAAAATTTATTTAAAACCAATTTACATATTAATTTTTTTTTATAGATTTTCATCACAGCATGTCCGGAAAAATTCAATATCACAAGTACCAATAAATAGTAAAATCGTAAATATACTGAATAATGAGGTCGAATTAGTCCACCTTCTTCGCCACCTTTTCCCCTTCTTTCTGCTTTACTCTCTCACAAGCAAGCCACGAGTCAGTCCTCTCAGAGAGAGGTTGAAAGATGACCAATCCTAGTGAAGATCGCCGCCCCCGTCCTCCGGCGACTCGTCCGCCGCCGCACCATCCCTCTCGGCCGGCAGCATCGACGGCAGCACAGTCGAAAGTCTCGAAACGTATCCTCCTCCGCGTCGCCTCCGTGGCCTGCGGAATACAGTTCGGATGGGCTCTTCAGCTCTCGCTTCTCACGCCGTACGTGCAAGAGCTAGGGATTCCACACGCGTGGGCGAGTGTGATTTGGCTCTGTGGTCCGCTCTCGGGCTTGTTCGTGCAACCCCTCGTAGGGCACAGCAGCGACCGGTGCACGAGCAGGTTCGGCCGTCGCCGTCCGTTCATCGTCGCCGGAGCTGTGTTGATCGCCATCGCGGTGTTGATCATCGGCCACTCGGCGGACATCGGTTGGGCGTTTGGCGACAGAGAAGGGAAGATTCGAACGAGAGCGATTGTGGCGTTTGTTTTCGGGTTTTGGATCCTCGATGTTGCGAATAACATGACTCAGGGTCCTTGTAGAGCTCTTCTCGCCGATCTCACTGGTAATTTCCTTACCGATTCGATCTTTGATGATCGTCTATCTTACTTTGACTGCACATGGTGTCGACAGAGTCCTAAATTCCGTCTTCTTCGATCCTGGAAACTGCTCTGATTTAAACGAAGCTTTGTAGTTTGAGTTTATTCAAACCTTGCTTTTTCTGGATGCACTCACATGCAGAAGTATACCTATGTGTGCACATAGACATCATACAAAAACAAAAGAGACACTTGCCTATTTTGTATGAACACTCTAATAATGAAACATGGAACATGTTGTAGATTTTGTCTGTCTTGGGGATTCACGTCAATCTTATAATCAAAAGGGTCCCTTGTTTATCCATTTTGCTGCTTCACTATCATCGAGTCACAAGTGTACGAGCCCGTAAACACGTTTTCCTCATGGAAAGAGGTTCTGAATTGAGCGAAAATGGTTTCTTACGTTTCATGAATTCGAAACTTTTTGTTTAGGAAGAAAAATGCTTTATGAAGCTTTTGTGGATCTTAGGAGCTGAGGAGATGAATAAGGGCACTGGGATTTGAAAGCTTTGTGAAATCGTTCACATGGACTTTCTAGAGAAGTTGATTAACTAATCCCGTTCATCAGAGTGGACAGAGCCATTTTAATGATGTCTTCTGTTGCTTTATAATATCGTACAACTCATCAACCATTGAGCTGTTGGGTGGTCAGATCCAAGAACAGGTTTAACATTGCAAGAAATTTTTTAGGTGTTCCATTTTAGTTGTATATGTGTTGGGCATATTTTTCAACATATTCCTCTTGACTGTTTCATTTATCTTGTTGTTACCTCTGTTAAGAAAGTAGCTGCTAATATTAGATAGAAGCTTCCCCGTGGGTCTATCTTCATCTCCTTGTTTGATGTTTTAGATAAAAGCCTATTGTCAAGGAATCTAGTGATAATTGTTGAGCCCTTGCTTTAGGAAGCTTTATTTCATACTTTGTTTACTTGAGTAAATGCTCCAAATATGTGAGACTGTTCGTTCTATGCCTTCTATGTAGCCTGCTATCCAAAGTACTTCGATCTGCTTTAATTTGCTCCGACTTCTTTCATTTCAGAGAATGACCACCGCAGGACCCGAGTAGCAAACGCTTACTTCTCACTCTTCATGGCTATTGGCAATATTCTTGGCTACGCCACTGGATCTTACAGTGGTTGGTATAAAGTCTTCCCATTCACGAAGACTGTTGCATGCAATGTGGAATGTGCCAATCTCAAGGCTGCCTTCTACATAGACGTAGTGTTTATTGCAATAACTACGTGCTTAAGTGTATCTGCAGCTCAAGAGATACCTCTTTCTTCGCTGCCTTCCGAAGCACATGAGGGATCCAGTAGCACCCAGGAAGCTTTCATGTGGGAATTATTTGGGACTTTCAAATATTTCCCAGGAATTGTTTGGATAATCCTGCTGGTTACAGCATTGACTTGGGTCGGTTGGTTTCCGTTTATTCTCTTTGATACTGATTGGATGGGTCGGGAGATCTATGGTGGAGAACCAAACCAAGATCCTTATTATAGTGCTGGTGTCAGGATGGGTGCACTTGGTTTGCTGTTGAATTCTGTTTTTCTTGGAATCACTTCTGTGCTCATGGAGAAACTTTGCAGAAAGTGGGGGGCTGGTTTTGTATGGGGAGTGTCGAACATCCTTATGGCTCTTTGCTTTCTTGCTATGATTGTGACCTCCTTTGTTGCATACCATCTGGGTTACCTCGGCCATGGTTCACCACCTGCTGGCATTGTATTTACCGCACTATTCATTTTTTCGGTTCTTGGCATTCCATTGGCGGTGAGTCATCAATTCAGCAGTTCTGGTTGGATTTTTTATTTACATTTGGAAAGAAGCAAGTGAAGGACTCTAACTGGTTTTGTGATTGTTGTCATCATTATTATGTATTATCTAGGAGGAAGCATCATGACACTATTAGTTTCTCATGCTCATTTAACCTCGTTCACATGCTGAAACTTTATTTGCCCAGTAAACTAATGCTCGGCTGATACTTATCTGCAGATAACCTACAGTGTCCCATATGCATTGATTTCTATTCGTATCGAGGCGTTGGGACTCGGCCAAGGTGTGCATTCCCTTTTCCGTTACGTTTGCTGCATTAACTCAAAGGTGGATTGTGTTTCTTATCATAAGCAACATTGTGGCAGGCTTGTCCTTGGGAGTGCTGAATTTAGCCATTGTGATCCCACAGGTTTGCATCTGTTCTACTATCTGTTGTAATGTTATAAATTGCAGCCAACCATGTGTCCTATCATTTCAACACGTCCGCCTGATGATATGGAAGTTCATGTCATTGGCGGTGCATCCTTGCTCTGCCATGGTTCTGAAAGATAGATAAAACACCTTCTGGTTTTGACTTTTAATTATTGATTTGATTGGCAGTGAGGTTATTCGTTATAATAACTTCCAAAGTGCAGATTAGGTAGCTTGCACAATTAAATGTGCAATTTTCAGGATTTGTTAGTGGCTTGCTATTTACCTCCAGGTTTATGGCGTCACTTTGTTTCCTCGAACTATTGGTATCTTCAGATGTTGGGGCAATCGAATACAATTCTTTAGGTGCAGAACTCGTCTAAATTCCCGATGAAGGAGTCCATAATTTTCATGATGTTTTTTCGGGGAACTGTCATAATTTTTTTGGGAATTGAATTCTATAAAATCTAATCACTGATGCTCCTTAGCTAGCTTAGTGGTAGAGTGATCAGTTGAGCTGGCTCATGCAACTGTATTGTGCTGTTCAAGATCACGAGCTGAACAAAGATATTGCCAACAGTCTGCGGATCACTGCAACTGAATCCATCGTATTTAAAGACAACAAAAAAACAGGATTTTCTCTTAAATGGTGAACTATACTTTCATGGATTATGACAGAGTTTTGGGGTCTTGATAAGCACAATTATTGATGCATTTCATTGCTGCATTTGAGTCATGTATTCTCTCAACGAATAATGTCACCAATTCATACACTTTCTCGATTTGTCGGGTTAACAAAGTACTGTGTTTCTCTAGGTTATCGTGTCTGTAGGTAGTGGCCCGTGGGATCAGCTGTTTGGAGGTGGGAATTCACCAGCCCTTGCGGTAGGAGCTGTTGCAGGCGTTATTGGTGGAATTGTGGCCATCTTGGCTATTCCTCGAACTAGGGTCCAGAAGACAACGCCTCTCCCATGAATTCCTTTCATTGCACAAGGTATTCTTCAAAGTTTCCTTTCTCACTGTCAGTATTATTGAGATCTTATGATGTTCACGTGGAAACTTATTGATTATTTGCACTTTTGGGTTTCCACTGATTGGTAAAATGGGTTGATGCAAAAGGTGGACAATACTGAACAACGATTAGAGGGTCCATATGACGGAACGGTAAACGGGAGTTTAAAGGCATGTTGGAGAGCATGTACCAACAATTTTATGCTTGAAGAAATGACCCAAGAGATTGCAATTTGACGCCGTCCTTGTCATGAAAAATGCATGAACAGCTGACAGTCACTGTGGCTAAACCCGGTATTTGTCTAGGACCTAAGCCCTAACTCTGGGCTGCGATCCTCGTCAATAAAGGGGCCATTGAAGTTTGCAATGAAAAAATGACGTCACTGAATTCACAAGGTATTTGCATCTCTCCTTTTATCGATGTCCTGATTCGTTTTTTTCTTCATCGGGTTAATCCTTGCCTGTTCCACTGTTATTTGCTTGCTTTCCCATTTCCATGTACATTCAAAGTATTAAATGTTGTGTAATCATGTCTGCTGCTTCTGCGTCTGCCTAACTCTTTCGAAACAAAGTCTCCGGATCTGTTCTCTTTAGTCATTTTAGTGAAGAAACCTTATTACTGTAGTAAAATTCACGGTATCTTTGCGTCGATCTGATGAAATATCCGCATTGTATCATCGATGATTGCTCGTTTTATGCATCGAGCATCTTTTAGTGAATGCTGCTTTATGAAGGTATTTTTCCTAACAATGGCGGGCAGTGTTTTTGCTTTACAAGCTTTTGCTTAAACCTGTTTGAAGATGCCTGCTCGGGTAAATATTCGACCCGAAAACAGCAAGTTAAGATGCTTCTTTTAGCCGAGTCATTTCTTTATCGGTCGTGTTGGCACGGAACATCGTTTTTTTTGTTTGGAAAAGGCGAGAAGAAAAAATCGATCCTTAAGGGCATCGGAATATCGTTTGCTTCTGAGATTTCTGCAAGTTAGATGCTTGTAGACACCATGGCTTCAGACAGAAAACCTCGCTTTACATGCTCTCTTGTCTTTGCCTTAGTTTTTTTTTCACCCTTTAACGTGTTTTTTGTCAATTGAATCAAAGCATCTGTCTTTGGTTAGGCACATCCCAAGTTGGCCTTATGGATTCTGATTCTTTCTTGGTCTTGTTCTCGTTCATCTCCCTTTGTCACTTTGGCTCCATGCATGAACGAGAGGTATAAGGATATTACTGTAATTAAATATATTTAGGGTTTTATTCTATTATTTTTTTCTACTGTAGTTTTTTTTAGAAACAATAGTCTAAAAAAGTCCATATAAAATCCAACTTTATCATTTCTATATAAAATCGTGAATTTTATAAATCTTTTCATATTTTTTTATGTAATTATTGGTTTTACGAATGTTTAACTGCCATATAAAATCATGAACTTTTGAATTTTGCAGGATTATAATAAGATTAATAAAATTCATAATTATGTATAGAAATTACAACATTCGTTTTTATATGTTTTTTTTTTTAAAATCGTGATTTTTGAAGTTATTTTTCTTTTTTTTTATTTCTATAAACTGAAGATAATAACAGTGATAAAAACATTAGGTTAGAAACCTGCTTAATTATAATAACATTTTTGTACATCACTCTATAGTTATCCGTAATTTCTCATAACACGTGCGCAAATATTGGATTTTGGATCAAAACAGAAGAAATTTGGTTTACATTGGATTGGAAGGTGTCATTTTGTGTTTAGTCGCAGCCATTTATTTTTTTTGTGTTCGTTGGACTCCGACTGTTTTGGTTCGTTCCGATGACAACACAAGTCAATGTAATGTAATAACGAACATTTTTGTTAGCATTAATGAAGGATTTGGTCCAATTAAATCGGTTTTAAATAATATTTAACAGCTTGGTTTTGTTTTTAAAATCAAATTTTATTGAATCATAATTAAACATGAACATAATTAGCAACATTATTAAATATAAGGAAAAAAACTATATAATTTACTAAAATAGAAGTATACCAAAATAATCTTATTAAAAAAAATCGGGACGAGAAAAATCTTTTCACAATGTTTAACAGCATGATAATACCAAAAGTTTACACTAAAAATTATGAAAATATTAAAACAAAATTAACTAAAAAAACAGTATAAATAATTAAATATCACCAGCGCATGGCGTGAGGCATTAGTATTTTAGTTATATATATATATATAACACTAGAATTCAATCAAATCCTATTAAGCTCGCGCCTCTGTATCCAAACGCAAACACAAACGCCGAAATGCAAGCGAACGCACACTTGTGGACAAATGCAGAGAAAACTTCAGCTCCAATCTTAAGCAAGTAACAATAAAATGCTAATATATTCCCCATATCTTGAAAGGGAATGGACGAGACAGACACAGAAGGGTGGAGAGTCTGGGAATTTGTCCCAACCACTTTTTATTTCATATTTTTATTTATGATAGGTTTTACACTTTGCACTTTGAATATTATTTAATATATATATATATATATATATAGATGCGGGTTGTGTAATGAGCCGACAATATCCTGTCTGCCTGATCTCCACTATCACAATTCACAACATTTCCCTTCCTTGTCATAGAAATAACCACACACAAAAAATTACCCACCAAAGCTGTCACCACACTATGTGGCCTTAACTCTCAAATTGGTTGTATGCAAATACCTCTATTTTGTGTGTATGTAGATGTGTGCGCATATGGTTCACTAGAGTGGGGTTATGTGAAAACACACACGCGAACGCAAATGTGTGTATGTATGTATGTATGTATGTATGTATGTATGTATGTATGTATGTATGTATGTATGTATGTATGTATGTATGTATGTATATGCAGGTGTGTGTACATGTGGTTCTCTGAGAATTGGTTATGTTAAAACACACATTTGTGTACATGTTGTTGTTGGTTGAGTGATCGGTTTGCATCTTATATGGGCCGACTCCAAATCATTTTCGTCTGAAATACGAATTATTAATTAGCTTAAAGTCATGTGATGTGAACTTAAAGAAAAAAATCAAATAAAAATGTAATTTCGATGAGAAATATATATGCTAGGTATCCATACGGAAGAGAATGCATGGATTTCAGATTATTTTTATGAGATTTTATAAATTTTAGCAAATTCTGTAATCGAGAGAAAATGTAAAATAATAATACCGGGAAAATAGCTTTTGACAATTCTATTAAACATGTAAATCAAGATTTGAGACATGATGAGTGGCGAAGTTATAGCATGATTACACTTGGTGATAATACTTTAAAAAAACCCAGTTATTATTTTTAAAATATAAAGAAATTAACCACCAATATATATATATATATATATATATATATATATATATATTGTAAGAGACGAGAATATAAATCATACAATTGCGTTCATGACAAGTTCACTCCTTATATGGAAAGAATTACAAAGAAGGAACGCATGGAGAAGCTGAAAAACTCAGAGAGAGAGAGAGAGAGAGAGAGAGAGAGAGAGAGAGAGCACAAACCAAAACAAAATGATTCTGAGGGACCCTTCTTCACAGGTGAAATAAAACACAAATAAAAAAATTGATTTAAGGCGAGAATTGTTTCCACGATGAACGTTTTTTTTTGTCACAATCTTATATAGAAGATAAATGGATAAAACGAAGAGAGAGAGAGAGAGAGAGGAAGAGGACAGTGAATATTTGTAGTTGATAAGGCAGGCCTTTTGGATTTTTTTGTTTTGTTTCGTTGCCTCCAGAAACAGAGACAGACGCAATGGTCTCTCTCCCGCAGAGAGACAATCTCATTTCTCCAACAATTTCAATGGCTCCTATTGGAACAACTTGCCCTCTCTCTCTCTCTCTCTCTCTCTCTCTCTCTCTCTCTGTATGTATATCGATATGTGTACACTCATGTATGTATTTGTGAGTTGTATGTCTGTATGCATACATGCATGCATGTATTTACGTATTATGTATGTATGTGTGTGTTTATGTAAGTGTATGTATGTGTATGTACGTATGTATTATGTGTGTATAACTGCATGCATGCATATACATATGGATGCGTGTCACCTAAATGACCATTCATGTAACGCCACACACACATTAGTTGGAAAACAAAAAATAAATGAAAAGAACAATACAGGTTTTGGGTTAAAAAAAAAAAAAAGCAAATAGAAAACATCGTTTAATTATATTTTTTTATTAAAAAAAAACAGATGCCCCTTACTTAAAATGTGGTTCCACTTATGAAGAAGTGACATTTGTTTGTTAATAACCTCCAATTTAAAAGCCCTTGTGGGTTGTTGGCGACACTAAAGTTCTTTGCTTTTGCTTGAATTTTAACTTAAATATATATGCATCTACAATATATATATATATATATATATATAAATTATATTTGCTGCCCATATCAAATATATGTGTATAATTAATTCCGTTAGATTTTTTATATGTGAAATGAGAGAATACTGAAATGATATACTTAGGTTTCCGAATTTTAATATTTATGAAATGTTAAAGATTTATTTTAATTGTAAAATATAAGGAGTGTTGGATTTTTATATATTTATTAATTTTTTTTATAGAAAGAAGGCTTTTGTTAAAAAATAATATTTTTACACCGTTGGTGGGTGTTTTTAATCACGAATGCACATTAAAAAAACACAGTTCGATTGTTATATTGAGTTATTAAATGCAATCTTCATTAGAGAAATTTTTTTAGTAAGTTAAAAAAAAATCCATTGTTAGATACTTAGATTGTATCTATAGACTATAGAGACATTTTTGTGTACACATTGTTAATCTATGAAATATAAGAAAGTGCTAAAGCACACCACTTTTGGTTTGGATATTATTTCTTCAGATTATGATTTTATGATGCCTATATACAAAAGCCACCCAAACACTCTGTTATGTGGACACGTGTACGATGTTGTATGGCTACATGTTCATAATATTGTTAGTACATGTTAGCAATATATAGAATTCATTGCAATCTAGTAATGATTGAAAAAATGATAACACTTTGATGATTTGGATGCCTAAACATATATTGAATTATGTAACTCATCATACGTGGACACTTGTACTATGTTTTTGGTTCCATGTTCATAAAATTTTGTAGGTCCATTTATATCATTAATTCATTAGCATATATATTATTATAGCAAAATGTAATAATGGGATGAAGATGATTAATTAGAATCTAGGAGAATCCAAATAATGTCCCACAAAGAGCATGCACAATCTTCATCCACTAGCCTTGAGAATCTCTCCATATATAGAAAACAATTTACAATGGTATTATTTAATTTATTGCTTTTCATCCTTTTTTTGTTTTGTAATGGAAATTTTGTTTCTATTTACCGTGTTGTGCCTCGTCCCTTGTTCCATGTCCTTATTATAAACCTGAGATATATATTTTGTTAATTTTCATATGTTAGTAACTTCTAATCAGCAGCTCATGATTACCATCAAACATTATTGTAAATCGGTATATTTTTCAAAACTAGGCTCAATATTGTGTAATATATCATATTTTTAAAATAATAATAATACCCTAATAATAATAATAATATTTTCAAGATATAATCAATCTTATATGTTATCGCTATGTGTGTGAGGTCTACGTCCAAAAAAGAATCATTAAAGCCTAAATTGTCTACTAAGCTCAAATCACAATATATATATATATACACACATTCATCAAATTTTCTATACATATACATATATATATATATATATATATATTCATCAAATTTTCTAACCATTAATTTATACTAACTTCAAGACATCTTTCAAATTTTATAAAAAAAAAAAAAAGAAATCTGAAATCTTTATCTTCGTATCTTGGGCTGAATTTGGATGTTGATTCTTCACCTCTCTTCAAGATGATAACTCTTATCTAAAAACAGTGAAAGAACAAATTGCTCAACAACAAAAATGGGACAAAAAAGAGCAGATTTCTCAGTGAACATGCCTTGTGAATTATGTCGGATTGGATATTATATATGTATATATATGTATATGCGTATATGTGTATGATATATGTGCATATCCACGTGGGTTTGTGCTCGAATACTTGCAAATTCGTTCGTTGCCTTGTAACACATAGACAACAATCACATACCCGGGGATCTCCCAGCTCTGTTGGTTTGAGAGCTCACTTCCTGAACAAGAGGTCGTAGGTTCAACACCCAGGATATGGAGATTTCCCCTCCGGCCATCTTCGGGTGCTTCACATCCCACACGTGTGGTACCGGTTGTGCGTGTGGGTCGGGATTAGTCTGGGCCCTTTGGGCCTGGGATTACCCGGTTATAAACCGGTTGTGCGTGTGGGTCGGGATTAGTCTGGGCCCTTTGGGCCTTGGATTTCCCGGGTAAAAAAAAAAAAAAAAAAAAAATCACATACCCAAACATCTTTAGTTTATTTACGATATTACCCATATCTTGATCCTAATTGTCACCTTTTTTTTATAATCTGAAAATTTATCGAAATTTGGGTCCAATTACGTTTATTTTTGATATTTCGGATGACTCAAGATTTTAATCAAAGAGGGTTGGATCGGTCATATATGAATTAGGGTTGATACGTTATAACATTATCCTAAGTTAAGTTAAGGTTTGGTTTGAAGATGGAAAAAAGCGAATGATTTTGAAGATTTTTAAATCCATTAAAACGATGATGATGATGATCACCACCATCATCATCATAATAATAATAATAATAATAATAATAATAATAATAATAATAATAATAATAACACAAATCTCCAAAAGTTATTATAGATTTCTTTTTTTCATTTTGATTAGGTAATCAATTTATAATCTCATAAAATACAATAAAAAAATATATGAAAAATAACTATAAAACTCACATAGTATGAAAAACACTATATTGAAAATTTATTAGGATAAACTTCAACATGAAGACAATGATTTTTAACACATTAATTTTATTCAATGGACCATCAGTTATTCCACTTTTGTATGTTCATAAATCATTTCGCATTAATTTATAATAACCGACTCACCTTTTTTGATATGGACCAAACCGTTCATACTAAATTAGTGTAACCTAAAACCTTATCAAATATAATTGACCAAATGCTCAAAGTCAAATGCTAAAGTTTAAGTAATAAGCATACACAAGATTATCTTCTTACAAAAAGTGCATTGGACTTTAAGTTCCACCACTGCTAGTAGCAACAAAATATAAGCTATATCTTTTTTAAAAAAATCATTTTTGTAACAAACCTTAAAATTTTCATGAAAAAGGACCGACCACTCTATATTATATGCTTATGTCGGTAATTATTTCTTCATTTTTGTATAAGATGTTGTTCCACCATGGTTTGAAGTTGGAAAAAAAATGAGCCAAGTTTTTGGAGATCATAATTAATTATGTATAGAAATTAGAGTGCTTATCTTTAAAATAACAGATGAGATGCTGATATTGAAAAATAATCTATTCAATTTAACCATTTACCAAAATAAATAAATATAATCCATTCAATTATATCAGTTGGAAAGCTTGAGTTTTTGTATTTCAACGGAATGATTTGACCACGAATCATCAATCTATATACATATAAGATTAAGATATATTATATTATATTATATTATATTATATATGGTCTAATTTTCGTGCAACTTAATTATCAAATATATATTTTAGTGGTCATCCCAAGAATGACTACGAAATATTATATATTTTTTAGAGATATTTTTTTATCTAGTTTGAATTTTTAGTAGTCACGATAATTGTTGAAAATAATGACGATAATAACAAAGACGAAAAATATAAGATACTATAGTTTCTTTTATCGAATTTGATATTTTTTACATAGTATTTTTTTTAATTTAAATTTGTTTATTTTTTCAGATTTTGTTCTTTTATAGTTCTGTTAATCATCTTAAAAATTTCTTCAAAGATGTTTGTTTTCAATAATTATCTGTTGTTTTTCGATACAAATTTATTTACCAATATGATTAGACTTAGTAATCCTCTATAGATATTTTTTTATCGGTCTTATATATTTCTAATGATTGGGTATATAATCAATAATTTCAACCATGGTGTATAATCCCATAATAAATTTTTTGATATTTTTAGAGATTTTGAAATACCAAAAACGTTTTCTACAATGAAACTTAAAAAATGATGAAAACCGTTCATTAGAAAAATTTTGGGATAAAAATTTGAAAATTGAACATGTAGTAATATTTATGAAATTGTGGGAAATTATAAAGAATTTGAGTTTTTTCTACTTGGTTATGATTTTTTATATTAACAAATATATTTATTGTAAAATTTAAAATTTTTAAAAATATATTATATATTTAAATTAAAATTTAATAATAATAATAATAATAATTGTTTTATAATTTATTTATAAAACAATTGTTTATGAGTAACAGCCAATCTCTTCATAAATGTTTTGAGTGCTAGTTAATTTTATATAGAAAATATTTTAATTTTTACATATTTAAAATCTGAGTTTGTGTATTTTTTTTTAACGCAAGTATTTTAAAATGAAACAAATGTCTCAATACATATATATATATATATATATATATAAAAGAAATGGGAAAGACAAGATAGTGAAACACTGAAACATTTTCACACATTGCTTGGTCTATTTTGCATCAATTCTTTCACTTCTATCGCTATTGCTTTACTCTATGTCACTGATTCCATTGTACCTAAATTTATATTTCTCCACATTAATTTTTTTTCCTTGCATACGATTTTAGTCGATAAAATTCACGTTTCCATAAAACAATTTATATAATTATTAAATTAAATGAGGGCCAAAACAATAAAGAATATAAACTTTAAAAAAATGATCAAACAAGGTAATGCCACGTGGCCGTCTTCAATCCTCTTGGGCAAGTATAAATTGAGGTGTCTCCTCCTCCCAGAACCCCGAACCCAGACACACACAGCCTCCAATTTCACATTGTTTTTTTTTTTAATTTCTCTGCTCCTTTTTTAAAATAAAAAATTCAGTTTTTTTTTCTGCGAAGCTCTTTGTTTGTCTCTGTCTCTTGTCTCTATCCGACAAAAATCATATCTAATATCCTGCAAATTCGTACGATATTGAAGTATGTGTAGTTCAAGATCATCTTCACCCTCCGATTCCTTCTTCCCTTCTGATGAAACCCAATTCTCAAAGCTCGGAACTTGTGATCTGAATCTTCCCCATGATTATTCCCAGTTCAATGATGATGATTCTTTAGGGTTTAATCGATGGCCTACTTTTCTTGAGGTAAACCAGAACTAGATTCTTGGGTTTAACCGGAAACAAAAGGGTTTAACATGTGACATGGTAATAAACTAAGGAGATGAAGATCTAAAAAGATGCGAAACTACGAGCTAAGTTTGAGTTCTTCTGAAACGTTCGACGCCATGAATGCTCTGGTTTTGTTAACGTTGTTGTTGCTCTGTTTCATTTGCAGGGGGTAGAAGAAGTGAAAGAGATGGGGAAAATATCCGGACCGACTGCAATAACCGGACTTTTAATGTATACAAGAGCAATGATCTCGATGTTGTTCTTAGGTTACCTCGGAGAACTCGACTTGGCCGGTGGTTCTCTTGCCATCGGCTTTGCGAACATCACTGGTTACTCAGTCATCTCTGGTTTAGCCATGGGAATGGAACCGATCTGTGGTCAAGCTTATGGAGCGAAGCAAATGAAGCTTCTTGGACTTACCCTCCAAAGAACCATCCTTCTCTTGCTCTCTTCTTCGATCCCGATTTCTTTCTTTTGGCTTAACGTGAGGCGAATCCTCTTGTGGTGTGGCCAAGACGAAGAGATCTCTTCGGTTGCCCAAACGTTCCTTCTCTTCGCCATTCCCGACCTTTTCTTCCTCTCTTTGCTTCACCCTCTCCGCATATACTTGCGGACACAAAGCATTACGTTGCCTGTGACTTACTCCACGGCCGTCTCGATTCTTCTTCACATTCCATTGAACTTCCTTCTAGTGACAAAATTCGAGATGGGTATTGTTGGAGTGGCCATAGCAATGGTTTTGACGAATCTTAACCTCGTTGTCCTCTTATCGTCTTTTGTCTATTTCACCGGTGTCCATAGAGATACCTGGGTTCCTCTAAGTGTCGATTGCCTCAAGGGATGGTCCTCGCTTCTCTCCCTCGCGATCCCCACTTGTGTATCTGTGTGTTTGGAGTGGTGGTGGTATGAGTTCATGATAATGATGTGTGGACTTTTGGCAAACCCTAAAGCCACTGTTGCCTCCATGGGAATACTAATCCAAACCACCGCTTTGGTATACGTCTTCCCTTCCTCTCTCAGCTTAGGAGTCTCCACAAGAATCGGAAACGAGTTAGGAGCAAAACGTCCGAGAAAAGCCCGAATTTCCGTGATCATCTCCCTCTTCTGCGCGGTAGGGTTAGGCATAATGGCAATGGCCTTCACCATTTTGGTGAGACACAAATGGGGAAGGTTATTCACAACAGATGCAGAGATTCTTGAGCTGACATCGATGGCATTGCCCATTGCAGGGCTTTGCGAGCTCGGAAACTGCCCTCAAACCACCGGCTGTGGAGTCCTGAGGGGCTCGGCCCGACCCACACTCGGCGCCAATATAAACTTGGGGTCGTTCTACTTGGTGGGCATGCCTGTGGCTATTCTGCTAGGGTTTGTGCTTAAACTAGGGTTTCCAGGTCTCTGGCTCGGCTTACTTGCGGCACAAGCAACTTGTGCAACCCTAATGTTTTGTGCCCTTTGGAAAACGGATTGGGAGGTTCAAGCCCAGAGAGCAGAAGAGCTAACCTCACAAAGTCACCATAACAACAAGAGTCCTCCTCCTCTTCTTCCGGTGGCTGCTACGGCTAGGGTTAGTTTAGAAGCCGATCATAACACTTTTCTTTATTAGGGTTTCTTGCAATTCTGTTTCCCATCTCCTAATCATAACATTGACGTATATATGTTTGTAAAAACTTTTTTTTTTTGGTGTAAGAGAAACCCTTTTTATGTTTTTTTTTATATTTTTTTGTTTTATCTTTTGCTTGTATTAATTTTTTTTTTACCTTAGCAGTGGTGTTGTGCTCTATTTAATTACTACATTGTGTATCTCGACGTTGCTTATAGTGTACCAAAATTGGTTCGGTTTGATTTCCTTTCCATGGAATTTAGTTAATTAAAAGATTATACTTAAACTTTTGAAAAGAAAACAAAAAACAAATGCTTTTTTTTTTCTTTCAAAATCGTTAATTCTTATATATTTTAGAAAATTTATTTTATAGAATCCATTCTCTTCTCAAGGACATGCAACATGAATCTTTTTAGTTGTTCCAATCCATAAAAGGAAATATATTCCCAAAAAAATGCGAATTTAGCTGTTCCTTTCCGAAAAGGGAAATAAATTATCAAATATTTCTTCTATGTAATTAGTAATTTCAAATCATATTTATTTATTCTGTTTCCTTCGTTTAGCGGGAGAGAAGCATCTTTTCTTTTCTTTTCTTTTCTTTTTTATTTAAAGGAAAATGATATCTTTTTTAAAAATAATAAAATATTCTCTTTTTTCATGTTTTCGGGGACCAGAGAATGAGTGCGAATTTTAGGCATTAGGGGCGAGGGAATATGATAATAAATAAGCCAATAAAATAAACCAAAGTGGAAATATAATGCGTTTACGTGTCGACCATACATTTCAAACATTTTTTTAAGAAAAAGAAATAATATAGCTTGAATTACAGGAAAATAATAATGACAAAAGCTTTAAAATCGAACTATATGTGTTCCTTCTGCTTATAATTATATCAACTCTATGATTATATACACTCTGCACACACACACACACACACACATATATATACACTCGCACACAAATTTACGTTTTCAATTACCATAAAAATTTGTATATTTCATCTCTTAAAACCATAAATATCATCTCTTAAAATTGCGAACTGCCACATAAATAGAAATATCATAAATGTAAATTTTGGAATCCACATGCATGACTAGATGTCGATATCTAGAGATATACGATAAGACCTGAAAATTACTAAAATATAATATTGGAATAAGTTTGAATATATATTTATATATATATATATGTATATATATATATATCATCATTTAAATTCCGTATTTAAACGCACTCGTTCCGGTATAATATGACAAAAACTCCGGATCTTTCAAATTAGGTAACAAACTATAACTAAAAAATAGGCTGATCGCTGCAAATCTCCGAATCTATATTGGATCGACATTATTCTTTTTACATGCATGAAAGTATTTGCATATATACTTGTATTATATATATATCGTGTGTAAATACAATATATACATATATATATATATATATGTTGTATGTAAAGACAAAGCATAACACAAAAATGGTGTCGAAAAGGGGAGATGGTAATGCCGTGTGGGTACAGCTGAGTCTCCCACAAAAGACAGTGCCGTATTGCCTTTCCGATTGCAGGGTCCCCCACGCGGAGACATACTTCGCACTCTTACGACATTTCTAATTCATATATGGAATACATATATATACACACACATATATAGTCAGTCCCCCAAAAACCCTAAATTCATGCTCTCTTTAGAAAATCTTCGGACATTTCGCATATTGAAATGTCATCATTGAGGATCAATACAAAAACATTTTAGCCCTATTTTTAGTATTAAAAATATAATTAACCGTTTCAAAATCGATTATATATGTTAAAGTGAAGTGGATGAGGCATACGACCGACTTAACCCATGCTTCCGCCAAAATGATCTTAACCAATGTTTCCCGATTCAAGTTTCCTTTTCTTTTTATATCTTATTTCTGTAAATTTACAGAAAAAATAATAAGTTATCAAAGATAAGAAAACATATTTAATTTTTTTTTAAAAAAAAAGATAAGATAAGAAAATGAGAGCACTCGTTTTCCACTGCCCGAAAGGGTACAAGGCATTGTGGAACAATGGCAAGTTCTGATTGGCTGTTCAGCCAAACATTTACTAGTAGTTCTATGTAATAAGGACAACAGAAAAAAAATCCCAATTCCTACGTTTTTTGTTTTTTTCGAAAATTATACAAATTCTATGTTAGAAAATTACACAATAAAAGACGAAATAGAATTAAGTATCTATCGATGGAAAAAAATATATTGTACAAAAAATAAACTTTTTAGCTTGTATCTGAAAAAATTAATCATTAAAAATTTATGTAATTTAGATTCATCAGTAGTTAGTATAAATATATACATTAAAATGTGATTAAACAAATCCAATACCATGGTCAACAACAGTCAAATATTCTGACAAAATAAAACACATTTAGAACCTTTTCTTTTTTTTTCTGTACAAAATTATTTTATATAAACTTGGTGATTTCACACACACTACATGATATGAACAAAAGATTTATATTAAGTTGACTTATGATTTTCTTTTGAGTGGGTGACAAAAGAACTCAAAAAGGCCTTAGAGCCACTATATATATATATATATAAGAACATTGTGATTTGGTAAGAAAATTTTGGTGTTTGACTTCTGTATTTCTGTTAATTCTAGTGGCATTATGTAACAATTGTATAAATATAAATAAATTTATCAAGATTCTTATTAAATTAGATAACTTTTTGAAATTATTATTAGTTCGAATTCAATCATCCAAAAAAATATAATATTGAGTAATCCATATCGATATTAAATTTATCAAGAACGTTGTAAAGATTATTATATATATATATATATATATATATATATGTATGTATGTATACATAGGAATGGACTAAGTTATATATGAATCGAATTCGAATTCATCCCAAAAAAATATGATATTGATAGTAATCCAGATCAAATTCAGATAATAAATATATAGTAACGATATATTTGAATTTTTATTTTTGAAACAATATAATAACTTTTCAATAGTTGTATCCTTAAAATTTTATAAGTATTTACGAAATTAGTATTAAATTCATATAAAAAATGCAATCTAGTCATCACCACCGAAGTTATTTACAAAATCGTTATCAAATTTATTTAAATAATTTTCATCCTATTTGAATTTATTCATAAAATTATCATCAAATCATTCATAAAAATAATCATCTAATTTAATTTTGAATTCGGATTCGAATATATATATTTTTTAAAAATTTCTAATACACATCAACGATGTTTACGGTATGACCTTTTTATTCAACGATGTATTTCACATTCATAATTCAACCACCCATTTATGTAGAAGAGCAAAGAAACACGTAAATACTATAATGAATTGCTTTGGATTAAAGATGAAGATTTGGAGAGAAAAAAATTCACCAACTTAAATGTTGCCAAGTTGTGTTAGTGATCTGTTTGATGGTCAAAGACTCCAACGTTTTTGATAATTATTATTATGGCAAATAAATGGGTCGACGGAAAGAAACGTTACGTTGTAACTTGTCATTCATTTATCCGCACGACCCATTTATTTAAATATCTGTAACAATCCCATTTTGACCCTGCACGAAAATATTATTGCGCTTTGAATTCAAAAAGAGTCCATACTTATCTAGATCTTATATATAATTCATTTTTCATTACACAAATATAGAATATCAACCGAATATATATATATATATATATGAATACCACAATGCATGGACCCACCCTACATTACAACCAAGTAATTTGAACATGGTTTCTCTACGTAGATACTGCTAAAACGAGATACCGAAGCCACATTAATGACCCCCCCCCCCCCCCCTGGATATTCATTCCTCGGATAAAACTTTCACGTTCACAAGCACGTGCGATAAAACGAATACTATATAACATTATATTTCATATATATGTATATATTTCGATTTCATGATTTTAATGACTTGGGGAAAATGTTATAACAAGCACGAAGTTTGGTCTACAAGAGATCGAGTGGTCAAAGCATATACAAAAAAAAATATCGGTGGTCCAATAGCACTTTGGTAATATGCAGACGACACGGGTCCTTGTGGTCAAACATTTCATCATATGCTTTTTTGTCGATCGAGTGAAATTGACAATTTCAAGAGTTTACATGGAGTAACTTTTGCTACGACAATTCGTGTCAAGATTTTCCTCGAGACTATTCAAAACTTAGATATATATAATGGGTCATAAAAATAGTTTGGTATAATCACTCGTGCAATCCTTTAGAAGAATGGTTGCATTTCACTCTCAAAAAGAATTTCGTAATCAAAAGTACCGAGTGTTTTTGGGTGTCAACTGTAATAGAGGTTTCATATCCGAGTAACGGGTTGGGGACCTGTCTTCCGGCATAGGGTGGATGTAATTGGATCGAAAACCCAGTGATCAACCAATTTGAATAGCGAAAAGAAAATATCGAGCCCTCCCTTAAATATAACCAATTGTTTGTTAGTGATTAGGAAATCAAACATATATAGATATAATGCTGTATTAAAGCATGGAATCGATGTGATAATTCACCAAATAAAATAATTGATTTTGTCTTTTTGAAACAGCGGTTCTTGACGTCATCACTAGCTTAAAAATATATATATATATATATATATATATATATATGATGGAAATGACAACATAACGTCACATGCATGCATCTTTCTTCATTAGTGAGGAAAGAAACGAACATAAACGGATGGACCGATCTATACATAATTGGGTGCACATATCAAATGGTATCATCATTCTCTTGTTAATGAACAAAACCTAATAATTGGCGCACAAGAGAGACCGGTCTACGGCAATAGACCCAAACCTATACGCAATGATATCGTCATGTGGGCAAGCGGATTCTACGTAACACATGCTTTTTGCAATTGCCTCCAAGATAGATGGGATCGTTGTCAAAGTACGTTGCATATAATCCGTTCGAATCTTGTCGCTGTCCACGACTCGGGAAAAACCCTAATTTCGATATCTTTTCCGATAGATTCGAAAAAGAGTGGTTCTTAGCACTTTCAAGTTGGCTCCCTTTCCTTTAGGCATTCATGGTTGTCCCATATCTATTAGGGTTTGCGTCCATCCCTAGTCTATCTCCTGTAATAAAGACAAAGGCAATATGACATGTGATTATAACGAGGGGAATATGTAGACATGCCAAGGTGTCTAGTAACCAAGTGTGGGCAAGTTTTGTGAAGAATCAATAGAGGTTTCAAGGGAGAAGCAAATGCCAACATATGGAATATGTGAATGCGAGATTTAGGACGCATATAATTGTTGCTCTTTGCCTCTCTCTCTCTCTCTCTCTCTCTCTCTCTCTCTATATATATATATATATATATATATCATTTCCCTTTGTGTGTATGTGTAGGTGAAGAGTGAGCTATTGAAGAAAGCTTTCAAAAATTTTCCATGAACAGCCTGGCAAAAATAATTCCTTTTGGCATTTTGACAAAGAAACGTGGAGAGAGGGGGGGGGGGTTCGTAGGTTTGGCTTTTAATTATTGCAAATATACATGTGTTTCCTATAATAAACATTTTTATTGAAATTTTATGTCTAGTTTTTTCTATATTTATATTCACAACGGTGCCTGCCAGAAATTAAATCAGTATAGACCATTAATTTTGAAATAATCTGTAGGTTAATGTGACAAAAAAAAGGTGTAAAAATGAGTTCATAGTTTAAAAAACATTTCACATTAATTTGTGTGTAATGTCTATCAAAAAATAAAAGCCCAAAATAGAAATTTAATGTGTATGGGCAAAACAAACAAAAAAAACCCACATTTCCTTGTCCACAAACGGACGAATTATTTAAATGAGTTCTTAAATAAAAGTTGTAACTTTTAATTATTCAGACAATCTGCCCAACCTTCCAAAAAAAATGTGAACACCCATTGCACTTCCATTATTATATTTTAAACCCAAAGTTTCATGGGCCTTTTTAACTCAGCCTCTCTTCGTCCAATGGGTCACCACAATACATAAATTTTAAATCAAAATACTGGTCCGAAGTGTTGGTAATGTTTTAGCAAATGGACCGTTTCGAAATTTACAGATGTTCGATAAAATCCATCTTCGAATGAGTTTGTATTAAAATGATTTGTGGTAACTTTTAGGTTTTGTATATTTTTTTCTTTTTAATTTCCATTCCTTAGCCCAATATTACATGGGAAAGAGGATTGAGTTAAAACCATATACAAGTCCAACCCATTTGGAACATAATATATAATCAAATGTCCTGCAAAAAAAAAACATTTATAATAACAGTACACATTTTTTTTTATTTTTTGTTTTCTTATGTAATGCATCTTTCAATCAATGAATCAAATATAAGTGATCATGGACAATGGACCGTCATGTCTTGAAATGCAATAAATAAGCCCTTGGAGTGTGCATTAAACGCTATGAACGTTGAAGAACTTTCATTGACGTTAGAGAAACAAACCAATTATGGCAATTTAATCATCGGAGATAATTAGGAATCAAATCAGTTCATCAATCGGATAAAATGATTCGAAATTCCCCTTGTGGTGAATAATTACTTGTTTAAAATATAATGTAGTCCTTTAGAATCTCCCTCTTGATTAGAGATCTTTCTTGGAGGTCCTTGCCTCATCTTAACTTGGTACATTTTTTTATAAATCAATATATATATATATATATATATATATATATATATATATAGTAGGATATCAATTTAGATGCGAGATTGGAAGTGATTCAGTCCAACCCAAAAAAAAGGGGGTTTTATGTTTAAGTTTTTCGACTAAAAAAAATTAGATTTTTGGATCGGATTCAAATCACACTTTGGACTTGATTCGAGTTTCGAACCTGATTCAGGCCATCTCAAAAATCTGATATTTTAAAGAAAATTCTAATAAAAAAACCGGTCAATCCGAACACTAACTCCGAAACCTTCGGAATGAGTGTGGGCTCGAGCCGGACCAACTCCTCTGATCACCCCCAATATATAGTATTAGATCATATATTTTTAGTGTTAGTAAATATATTCCTCTATGCATATATATAGAATTTATATCATACGAAACATATATATATATATAATTATATGAAAACGATACAACTTAATATTGATCATATATATTCACACTATAGATAAAACGAAATTGAATACCTACTATTAAATGTGACGGTAGCCGCGTGTGTGACACGCGCTGAGAAATCTGGTCGGGAGTGACGGCCAGAGATCATGTACTTTGGGGGAGCGGACAGAAATTATGGAAATTTATGACACGGTGGATAAATCTCCGGTCAAAGTCAACTAAGTCGGCTCCAAGATCGACAAGCTTTTCCACGCAAACGACAATGACACTTGTTTTTCTTTTAAAAAAGATGAACACAAATAAATATATTGCATTATATGGCTTCCGAATTAATCTCTACAATATGAAATCACGAATCGCCTATTAATATTATTAAACGGGCCATAACACTTAATCAACCCTAATGTTGGTGGACGACACCCGCCCACTATTTATATAATATAAATATGATACGTGACATGAGTAAATATCAAGCTTGTAATCAATAACTAGAGACTAATATTTTCGTAAATCCATTTTTTTTTTTTATAATTAGTGTTTATTATAGCTTCTAGAAAATAAAAGTGTATATTTCATTGTTAGTATACGAAATCCGAAGGTATCTTTTTTTCAAGAGTTTTTGAAAGCTTCATTTTATTGGTGACATTTGATTTTTCTTTGTACATACATCTCATTCAAATAGATGAGTGGTGACAACTTTTCTTGTTGGTCTGCTAAGTGGTGGCTTTGCTTTGGCTCTGTAGCTTTATACAAAACAATTAAAGTTATTTTACTTATTTTCTAGGTTGTATTTATTTCATCTTTATTTATTTTTGTTCACTTAAAATTATCTATAATTAGTTTATTTTATTAGATTTTTAATGACCATACTCATTAGATTTGTGCAAGTTTTTGGACAAGACATGGTTTTATTTTAGTTAGATTTAGTTTTTTTTTAATGTTCATTTTCTAAAGAAAAATCGTTTTTATTTGATTTTTATTATTATTTTCATATTTATTCTGAATCTAGTTTGAATTACATTAATTTGTTTTAGAAGTGTTATGTCCAATTTATTTTAGATGCTATTTCATGTCATTCAATTCGTTTTTATATATCGGAACCATACTATCAAATTCTACATGCATGCATGGTATCTTTTTATACTTTATATATGTATCACAAAAAAAATAAAAAATAAAGGAGCAAAGTGAAGTGAAGTCCAACTTATACGTAACGATAATAACGCTTTTATTTTATTTGTAAAAAAATTTGGTCATCGTGTGCATGCACTTGCCCTTGCTTTCGCCTCTTATAAAATCGTTTTGTCTTATCTTTGGCTTCAATTATGTCATCTTTTTTCTAATGATTTTTTTTTTTTTTTGTAAAAGCACCTTTATTTCCACGAAACTTCATTACAAAAGTTGAAATTTTATTACAAAGATGTCTTTGTTTGCGTCTTTGGTCTTTGTCTGTCGTTGGAATCCATTCGTTAGTGTTCCCACCTAATCAGCACGTGACAAAATTGCTTTCCATTGAAAATAGAATCGAGAGAGAGCAATGTGTTATTGTTTTATTATATCATATATTTACATCTTTCATATAAATAGAACTCAACAATCCGAACTAAAATAAATCCGAACGTGAAAATCAAATTAATTACCTATGCTTTAGCTATATATGTGTGTATATATATATATGATTAGGATATTAGGAGCATTAAAAAGATCCCGAAAAACGTGTGGCCGAACACAATATGTAATATTGATTGGATATTGAAATATATTTTTAATTATTGAAAGTAATAACGCGTGTATATAAAAAATAAGAAATATTATATATAGATTTGTAAATATATATGATGATGATTTTATCTTAAATTGATGTATATAATGCATTCTAAAAGATATTTCCTTTTTCTTTTTAATAAATTCTAAATAAATCCAATTGCATATACTCGAACTTCTCTGGCCATCGCTGATTGCTTTAAAATTTCAAACGATAATTTCTTTAATAAAGGTACTTTTTTTTATATTATTTTGTGTCCGCAAAAGCTAAGTCCAAAATTTTTAGTGTGAACATTATATTATATATGCATATTAATGTACATGTAATGTGACTTATGCACCTAAAAGGTTGGTTTGATTGTATAATAATAATAATAATAATAATAATAATAATAATAATAATAATAATAATAATAATAAGTCGTTTTTCCCAAGGGTAATTCACACATAATTCTGTGTATCATATAAGAAACGTGACAATACAATATCCATGGTTACCCAAAATGCATGCAAAATCATATCTTATACAGGGAAAAAATGTTGTTACTTATATATAGTATGCATTAAGAGTATTTATTGGTTATATTATTTTGATTGTTACTTTAATAAATGGTTTGTATGTGATGGGTTTAATTTGGTTTGTTTTATCATTGATCCTTTTTTTTTGGGTATGTGTATTTAAGAATAATGTATTTTATTCTCAATACATTAAAAAGTTATTCAATAGCTTGCGGTAGGTTTATATTTGTAATAAAAAAAGTAAACGAGTTTAAATATGTAGAAAAAATAAACTTCACAAATATTAATATAGAAACAAGGAAATATTGCAAAAACTCGTAATATAGCTGTTATATCCCACAGATTATTAATTAAATAAAATTATTTCGCTTTTGTGGGGTCTGTCCAGCAATCACGTTTTTTTGTCATGTAGCAAAAATTGATTCAAACTTTTATAATTATCAAATCGTTATTATGTTAATTTCAATTTAAACAAAATATATTTTACATAATAAACAAAATACATGTCAATCCGTATTTGAATATTTAAAATTGTGTTCCCAACAGATTGAACTTGTAGAACTTCGCTTCAAGCACCAAACTTCCCACCAAACTTCCCTCCCGTCTTCCATCGTTATCGCTTCGCCGGAAAACCGCATTTTCCGATGTAAAAACCGCCACCGGAGAAACCCCCCCCTTCTCCTCCTCCTTCTCCGGTTATGTCTCCGGCGTCGCGAAATCTCATCTCCCACCTCCTCTTTGCTCTGTTCCTCGTCGTTTCATCCGACGACCTCCAAGTCCTCCTCAAGCTCAAATCCTCACTCGGTGCTTCGGATTCCGCCGTCTTCGATTCCTGGAAACCGGATTCCGTCGCCGGAGCTTGTGGCTTCGCCGGAATCACCTGCGATTCTGCAGGCTCCGTCGCCGAGATCGACCTCTCGAACAGGAACCTAACTGGAAATTTCCCGTTCAATTCGGTCTGCGAGCTCCGAAATCTCCAGAAACTGTCTCTCGGATTCAATTTCTTGTCGGGAATCGTCCCCAGGGATTTGGGTAATTGCACGAATTTGCAGTATCTGGATCTTGGCAACAATTTGTTCTCTGGTTCGTTTCCTGAGTTCTCCTCTCTGAGTCAATTACAGTATCTGTATCTGAATTCGAGTGGATTCTCCGGCCTGTTTCCCTGGAAATCGCTACGAAACGCGACGGGTCTCGTCGTTTTGAGCCTCGGAGACAACCCTCTTGATACGACGTCGTTTCCTGAGGAGATTCTATCTCTGAAGAAGCTCTCGTGGTTGTATCTCTCGAACTGCAGCATCGCCGGAAAAATCCCGCCGGATATCGGGAACTTGTCGGAATTGCAGAACGTGGAGATCTCCGACAATAGTCTCACCGGAGAGATTCCACCTGACATCGGGAGACTTACGAAGCTAAGGCAGCTCGAGCTCTACAACAATTCCTTGACGGGGAAGCTTCCTCTAGGATTCAGGAACTTGACAAATCTCAGAAACTTCGATGCTTCGACGAATTTTCTCGAAGGAGACTTGTCGGAATTGAGGTTCCTGATGAACCTTGAATCTCTGCAGCTCTTCGAGAACGAATTCTCTGGTGAGATCCCGACCGAGTTCGGTCAGTTCAAGGAGCTTGTTAACCTTTCTCTGTACACGAACAAGTTGACAGGTCCTCTGCCTCAAGATCTCGGATCCTGGGCTGATTTCGACTTCATAGATGTGTCGGAGAATCTTCTCACCGGACCAATTCCTCCCGACATGTGCAAACGCGGTACCATGAAATCCCTTCTGATTCTGCAGAACAGATTCACAGGCTCGATACCGGAATCTTACGCGAATTGTTCGACTCTGACACGTTTCAGAGTGAGCAACAACTCGCTAACCGGGACAGTCCCTTCCGGTCTCTGGGGCTTACCGAAGCTTGAAATCATCGACATCGCTCAGAATCAGATCGAAGGTCCGATCTCGACAAGCATCAAGAACGCCAAACAGCTCGGGAAACTGTTAGCAGGATACAACAAATTGTCAGATGAGTTGCCCGAGGAGATCAACGGAGCTGAATCTTTGGTCGCCCTCGAGCTTTACAACAATCTTCTTTCGGGCAAAATCCCGAGCTCTGTCGGGAAACTGAAAAGACTTAGCAGTCTGAAGCTGCAGGGCAATGTCTTCTCCGGTCGCATACCGGATTCTTTAGGCTCTTGCGTGGCACTTAGCGAAATAAACATGGCCGGAAACACCCTCTCGGGCGAAATTCCAGTCACTTTGGGATCTCTCCCGACGCTAAACTCGCTGAATTTGTCGGATAACAAGCTCTCGGGCAGGATTCCGTCGAGTTTAGGGTCTCTAAGGCTCAGCCTTCTTGATCTATCTAACAACAGATTGTCTGGTAGCATTCCTCAGTCATTGTCCATCGAGGCGTATAACGGTAGCTTCAATGGAAACCCTAGCCTCTGCAGCATGATTATCAAGTCTTTCACCCGATGTTCGAAACCTTCACGATCTCGCGGCGACACCCATATCTTCGTCTTGTGTCTGGTTTTCGGGTTAATGATCATGATCGCAGCCCTCGGGTTTTTCTTGTACTCGAAGAAACGCGACAAGGATCACGATCTCGGGCTTAGACGCGGATCTTGGAGCCTGAAATCGTTCCGTGTGCTGAGCTTCTCGGAAGATGAGATCCTAAACTCCATCAAAGACGAGAATTTGATCGGTAAAGGCGGGTGTGGAGAGGTGTACAGAGTAGTCCTCAATGACGGTAAAGAACTCGCAGTGAAACACATACGAAATGGAAAAGAACCTTGGGCTGAGGCCAAAACCCGAAGCTCGACACCGATACTCGCAGTGGAACGGGACGGGAAATCGAAGGAATTTGAGAGAGAGGTGCAAACATTGAGCTCGATAAGGCATGTAAACGTTGTGAAGCTATATTGTAGCATCACAAGCGAGGATTCAGATTCGAGCTTGTTGGTTTACGAGTACTTACCCAATGGAAGCCTATGGGATATGCTTCACACGTTCAAGAAATCGGTTCTCGGCTGGGAAACGAGGTACGAGATCGCTTTAGGCGCAGCGAAAGGGCTCGAGTATTTACATCACGGCTACGAGAAACCTGTGATTCACCGAGATGTCAAGTCAAGTAACATTTTGTTAGACGAGAAGTTCAAGCCGAGGATCGCGGATTTCGGGCTTGCAAAGATCCTCCGAGCCGATAATACAGGTCTAGATTCGACCCATATCATCGCTGGAACATACGGATACATAGCTCCAGGTACATCCAACGAGTGAATTCCTGACCTTATTCTTCAAGATTCTGAAAACGTATGAATTTGATGATAAACTAATCGTTCTCTATTTGGTTGCAGAGTACGGATACACGTCGAGGGTGAACGAGAAATGCGATGTGTACAGTTTTGGGGTAGTGTTGATGGAGCTAGTGACGGGAAAAAAGCCGATAGAGGCGGAGTTCGGGGAGAACAAGGACATTGTGAAGTGGGTGAGTGACAATCTGAAGAGCAAAGGCCGGGTAACGGAAATGGTGGATAAAAGGATACCCGAAACCTACCGAGCAGACGCGGTAAAGGTCCTAAGGATCGGGATCCTGTGCACGGGTAAGATCCCGAGCTCGAGGCCGACGATGAGGAGAGTTGTTCAGATGATTGAGGAAGCAGAACCTTGCAAATTGGTGGGCATCGTTGTAAGCAAAGACGATGATCTCAAGATCAAAGAGATGAATTGACGTAGATTTTGTGAAATAGATAGTGTGACCTATAAGAGGGTGTTATTATTATTCACAATGTAATCTCGTGTTTTTCTTTTTTTTTAAAAAAAAAATTCGATCCGAAAAGAATAAAACCTAACGAGGCGACGAATCTTTTTTTGGACCGACCGTACGGAACTCGAGAACTGCGTTGCAGATTCGCTTGTTTGGGCTTAAAGCAGCAAGAATCTTATTTTGGTTAAAGGAAAATATCAAGAATCTTGAAAAGAAACGGTAGAAATTAGAACACAAAACAAAACGAATCTTGAAATCCCAATCTTATAAATTTTTAATAAATATTAGATTTTTGGTTTGAAACAAAAACTTGAACTCGCAGGTATTATATGTACATTTTTACTTATTTTACAGATAATTTTTGGGTCGTACCCAACCCATGCACCCATTTTGTGGATCCGACCCGGACAGAATTGGGCTTTTGGGCCAGGCCCAATGGATAATGAGCTTGTTAGTTGTTAATGTTTATTTTATATATATATATATACAGAAGTGGTTTTTTCACACCGATGTTAAAGGGATCAATATATTGGTTCTGTTGTAATGTCGTAAATTAATGTGATTTTTTTACATGTAAAAAAACATAATATCTATGTTTCGTTTTTTAAATGTGTAAAAATTTGTGTACCCATGAAGTACATGACATGGATATTATGAATTATTCATATAAAAAACTATAATGGGATGAATTACTCGTTAATTAATTTACTATTTACTCACTCTAACTAGAATTACAAATTTCAAGAAAACTTTTAAAAATTCAAGAATAAAGAACTAAATATTCCATCAACAATTTTAGGCAAACATTAAACCTAAACCAAAGTGTTAGAAAAAGACGCAAACTTTTTCCAAAGCTAAGAAAACTCATTGGCATCACGAAGAGCATCTCAATTCAAAGTTGAAAAAGTGAAAAAATTCTTTTCACGTGGAGAGAATATATATACCCATATTCTTTTTTTTTTTGTAATACGAAAATTTATCGGTTTTTTGACCGAACTATATATATCCTATAAAATCGAATAAATTTATGTCATTCTCTTTCCTTAGTGAAAACTCAAACCTATATTAAAAAAGGAGTTTTATAATCTATACCACCTCTTACCAGTTGAATTATTTGTTCTTGGATTATACATTATAAATTTAGGATTACCAGTTGAATTATTTTTTATAATCTATAAAAAATAATTTTTTTAATAAAAATTGAATTTAAAAAGAATATGAATAGAATTCGACCTTTAATTTTCTAAAAATAAAAAACGAATTCATAAATAATTGAATCCAAAATACCTGTCATTTTATGGTCATCAGACTTTTCAAATTAAAAAAAAATAAAAATCGTGGTTCAATTCGATGTTTTCTAAGGGAGAATTAGGATTTTACGGAATAATTTCAATGGGGAATCTAAGAACCCATATGATCACTCACCATACTTAATATTCTCTTTTTTTTTTTTTGTGGATATATGTAATATCATTATTATTATTATTTCATATTTTGCTGTACCTTTTTGACTTTCCATTTGAAATGGCTCCAGGTTCTCTACTGATTTTGACTCCTAACAGAATTTGGTTCCATGGCGATAACTCAGAAGCCATATGGGAAATAAAGTGATGGTCTTCCCTCCAAATCATTGTATGATGATAAATTGGAATTTATTTGCATTTCGTTTTTTCCACGTGTCATTTCTTATCATCGTCCCCCCTCCCTAGTTAGAGTTTTGTATTGACGTCCACTTATTATGCGGAAAACCGACATATCATTAGTCACCATCATTATATATATATATATATATATATATGTATATATCTGGCCATTTGAAGTTCAAGTTTACAAATTAATTAGAAACCAGGGAAACATGTGAAATTTTTTTGACGACTAACCTTATATTATAATTTATACATGATATTTCCCCTTTTAATTATAAAAACTATATATTTCAAAAATATAAAATGAAATCCAAGTATCAAATTCTGATATCTGAAAAAGAGAATAATAAATTAGACAACTTGTGTAAAGGGTCGGAAAATAAAAACTGAAAATTCAATCCACAATCACGCCTACTTAAAGAGATCTATCTTTTTTTATTTTTTTGGATTCAATATCCAGATATATTGGAATTATTTATAAATATAAGATGGTGAATCCAAAACAATTTTTTTTTTATAGTTTCAAACCCTTTCTTAAAAATATTACAAAATATAACAAGTAAATATTATACAAAGTATTAAGAAGTTAGTACGGGAAAAGCGTGGTGGCGGTATAATCACAAGTGTACTAATAATACGCCTTTCCGTCCACATATCTTCAATATCTTCAATTCTAAAATTATTTTAGAATGAGATTTTTTTTTAATAATTCGAAGGTTTACCAAATTTATGTGAATAATTTTCGTAAAAAATATTGTTTATGATTATTTAAAATTTCATATTTAAGGATTAAATCGGTAGAGTAAGATGCCAAGGTAATTAATTTTTGCTCCATCCCATTTTTGTTCTCTTAGAAAAGAGGATCTTCCGCATGAAATTATATTCATCATTCAAAGAGAAACTAATCAAAACCCATTTTAATTACCCGAAATTTATGGATATGACCAATTTCCAAAAGGTTCTAGAAACAATTAGGTAAGAAACAAATGTCGATAACAAATGTACCTATTAAAAAAAATATATTAAAGGGGTTGGATGGAAATCGTTTTTGAGTTTTTAAAATTTAAAAACAAAAAAAATTTAATAATTAATATTTGGTAAATTTAGTTTTTTTTTAAATTTGGAAAATTATTTTAGTAAAATAATTAACCAAAAAGTCTATGTTTTAGATTTATAAATATTACAAATACTCAAAATAAAATCTATCGCCATTCATAACACAATATATTATGATAGCCCTATTTTTATATATGTATATAAGTGGAATTTCATTTAAAAATTAATTGAATATAATATTTTAATTATTTAAAAAGTAATAAATAGAAAATTAATAGATATTATATATAAAAAATCAATATATTTTTCAAATTTTAAAATATTAAAATAAATTTATTGAAATTCAAATTCTAAACGTCTAATATTAATAGATAATAAAAAATCTAGAAACATTTTTTTTTGGGTAGTGAAGGGGTCGGTTGTCTCATGTGCCTTTTTTATTTAAAATATAACACGTAATTGCAGGAATCTTACGACACTTGTTGTGAAACTATGGGTTAAATTCAGATTCACCACCTCAAGTTTGAATTCTTCTGTAAAAGAACCCTCACCTTTTCAGTCGTTACAAAATACAACTTTATCATTCGCGTTGCACCATTTTTTTTTTTGGATTTTGTTTAATAAAATTCCATTTATGTCCTGAATCTGTTAGAAGTTTCAATTACACATTGCATTTTATGGTGTCACATAGTTCACATGTGAACATATAGTTTGCGTTTCATTATTCAAAATTGTTTTCTTTTTTCTCCAATTAGTTTGTTGACAACGATACACACGCACACGCGCACATACGCACATATATATATATATATATATATATATATGTTTTCAGTATTATTCATGACAGATTTTCAATTGTAAGTTTAATAAAAAAAATTGAAATAATTTTCGGGCCTCAAATATAGAAATACCTTGTTAAGTTTTTTTTTTTGGAATTTTGTTGATTTTTGACGTTTATATTTGGTATATCCCCAACCATCATTTGCATATTAGTTTTTTTATTTTTGGTAAAATCGTATTAGATTCTTATGTATACAAATGTATCTATCTAAAATTTAATTGATTTTTCCAAAATATCCTTTTTTGGTGGAATACTAATTCCAAGATACATTTAAAAATATTTTATTTTATACATAATTACCATATATAAAAAGAAATAAATCCGTAAGTAAGTATGTCCATAATTAAAAAAAACTATTTCTATATTTTTAATTAATAAATAGTTGTTTAGCACGAAAATGTTTGGATGCTTATTTAATACATAGGATATAATGTTGATCCTATAAATAATAGTTGTTTTATCAGAAAAATAGGTATCTTTTAAGTAAATTTCGAACAATTCGTAAAGGTATCCACTTTTTTATTCTATATTTTATTTTGTTTTACATTATTTTAAAAAATATTGAATGTATTCTAAAATAAATAAAAAAATTTATCTGTACAGAAATCTCATTTATCAAATATTTAGAAATTAAATCCCATACTATTAAAAGGTGTCTATAAACTTCAAAAAATATATTTAACTGTCAAATGCTGAACATATTAAATATCTATATATGCGTATAAATATTTATATTTTATATTTATTTTATTTTATTGATTTTTTGAAAAGTTTTTAATTATTGAAAAGAAAAATATGATATCTATTTTGATAATAATATTGAACAACGTTTAATCAAAATCAAAATTGATATACCATCATTTGAAATGTCAATTTCAGTATTTAGGGTTAAGTATAACATAATTTTTAAAGTTCGTATATATTCTAAAAAAATTAAAAAAAATATCACGTTGTTGGATGAACACGAACCTCATTTATCGATTTTTTAGAGATTAAATCTCATACTATTAAAAGGTTTCTCCAAACCACATGAATACACATACTTAACCTTTAAAACTAAATTTGTCATATATATATATATATATATATTTATTTTGTTTTCTATTTATTTTTTTAAAAAAAATATTTTTTTTTAAAAAAAAATATGACATGTATTTTGATAAGATGGTAGATGATATGAAAATTTAGTCAAAATTATAATTGACACTTAATCATTTGGAATATCTCCGAGTTTAACAATATCAAAGTTTGAGATTTATTTAATAAAAAGATTAGTTAAAATTTTGTTTTGGCAAATTTGACAAGTTTGGATATAATTTTTCTAATTTTTCTTTTATATTTCATTTTATTTTGCATTATTTTAATAAATATTAAATATATTCTAAAATAAATTTATAAAATCTCATAGGGTAATAACCCCATTTATCGAATATTTAAAGATTAAATCCATACTATCAAAACTCCAAAAATATGAAAATTTAGACTTAATATATATGTATGTGAATATTTATACTTATTTTTATTAAATTTTTTAAAAAAAAAATAGAAGAAAAATATGATATATATTTCGATTATAACATGACAAGTGATGTGGTAACATTTAATTAAAATCATAATTGAAATGAAATATTATGTCAAAATTAAGGGGTAAATGTGACATGATTTTGAAAGTTTAGGTTTATTTATATAATAATATTAAAATTTAGGACTTATTTGACAAAAAATAGTTAAAGTTTTATTTTTTAACAAATTTGAAAAATTCGGATATTATTTGTGTAATTTCTCTTTTATATCTCATTTTGTTTTGCATTATTTTAAGAAAATATTAAATATATTCTAAAACAAATTAAGAAAATCCATGGAAAGGAATCTCATTTGTCGAATCTATAGAGATTAATCTCAGACGTGTTTCCAAACTCCAAGAACATAAACAGTTAACCATAGCTGAATTTATCATATATGCATATATATATAGAATTATTCCAACAAGCTTAAATTTCTTTTTTTAAAATCTACAAAAATGAAATCGTGGTAATTAAAGATTTCCACATTAAGGTTAATGCATAGATCCTAGACACCACCAAAAAAGGACATAATTCGTAGCAATTAGAAATCTGTATATTCAGTTTGCTTACATCCATTAAACCAAATTTATTTAATTCAAATTTAATGTAAAATATTTAAAGAAAAACAAAATTCATCAAAAAACCAAATGATTTTTTTTCGTTTGGCTTCTTCTCCCCACATTCCGTATACGTCTTATATAAGCATATATGCTCACATATCGACACACACACACATATATACATATACGTATATGTATATATATCTACACACAGTGATATTTTTTAGAACCACAAGACAAACCCTTCATTTATTCACTCTCCCCTCTCTCTCTCTCTCTCTCTCTCTCTCCCCCTCCTCACAACCATGAGGTCCCTCAACACAGAGCACCACCACAACCAGAACCCATCAGCGGCAGAATCCGGCGATAAATCCGCCGTATTTTCCGCCGGAAAACTGGTGGACGATGACGGGAGGGAGAAGAGGACGGGGACGTGGTTAACGGCGAGCGCGCACATAATAACGGCGGTGATAGGGTCGGGAGTGTTGTCGTTGGCATGGGCGATTGCGCAGCTGGGATGGGTGGCAGGTCCCGTAATTTTGATGATCTTCAGCGTTATAACTTATTTCACATCCACCATGCTCGCCGACTGTTACCGCTCTCCCGATCCGGTCACCGGTAAACGCAACTACACTTACATGGAAGTTGTCCGGTCTTATCTCGGTACGCTGAAAAAAAATCCCCTCCCTCATTTTTTTTTTCTTCTGATCTTTTTTTTTTTCTGGGGTTTTGTTAGTTAATTGTTTTTTTCCTTTATCTTTTTTCGTGGCATTCTTGTAAATGTTTTTTTTTTTCAAAGTGAAATCCATCGATATGCCCTTTTCTTCTTCTTCGGATTGAGGTTAAATCACTTGGCTCTTGTACGAAATATTATTCGAATTCATGATCTTTTTTGTGTTTTTGGTATGGATCTCTACCAGATTTTATTCGAGTTTTAGCATTTTCGAGGTAGAATTTATAGATTTCATCTGGGTTTTTAGTTTTTTTTTTGTATTTTAAATATGATAAGAAAATGCAATAGGTTTGATTTTTAAAATTTTCAGGATTTATATTCGGAAAATTTCGGGTTTCAAAAATTGGGCTAATTCTAGATTCTAATAAATTTTAGGGTTCTCAGGCAATTTTTTTAGATGTGTTATAAAGAAGTTGTAATTAAATATTAAAGAGATTATGAATTAAATTTGCATTTTGCATTTTTGTGGTTAGGCTAGCTGTGGTTTGGTGAGAGGGAAAAAGTAATGTCGGTTTTCCTTGGGGATATGAAAATTGTTGGTTTCATATAAATTAATAATATTTTTTTCTTTGTTGTTTTCGGGTCCTAATTAATGCTTCATAATTATTTTTGTCAGTCAATTTTCTGGTTTCGTTCAAACTTTTTCTCGTCGCATTGAGTTTGGATGCTTATATCTTTTCATCAAGTTACTTTCTCACATGGATTGATTGATCGAATATATATATATATATATAGGAATTTACACAATCGAATGAATCGATCTTAGGTGTGTAAAATGAACCCTGATCGCGGGTTGGTTTGCGAATCGGACAACAATTTTTTCGAATTGGGTTTAGAATATTTGAGTCCAGAAACAAATGGACTAAACGAGTGAATTCATCACGAATCATATTCGTGGTGAGTCAGTTCAGCGAGTCTATAGACTAGCTCGTAGACCCATTTTTTTAATTTTTAATATTTTTATATAAAAATTATATTTTTATTAGATATTTAGTTTGTTTTGTTTTAAATTTTTATTTTTTTATTATATTTTAAATATTTTAAAAAACTAAATATTTAGTTCGTCTATCGACTCATTTGATTTGCGGGTTAAAATGATTTGAGTTGGTTGGTCTATTTTTGATACGTTAAAAAATGGATTAGAGTGGCGGCCTAACCCGTTTTACGCTCCTAATCGTTGTGGATACTACTATATCCAAATTTAATACATATCCAATATAAAAAATAACTGAAATAAGATAATATTTAAATAGAATTTTAACTAAAACCAGAATATCGACGACTTTATATATATAATTTTTGAATGAATTTTTTGATCATTATCACTCTAACAAATTTCCGAATAACAAACGAAGATGTAAAAAATATATGAAATGAAATACTAACCAATAATATTTTTTTGAAAAAATAAACGACAGGTGGTAGAAAAGTGCAGTTATGTGGGATGGCACAATACGGGAATCTGATAGGCATCACAATTGGTTACACCATCACTGCCTCCATCAGCTTAGTGTAAGTGTATTCAATAATGCGATTTCGTATGGTTATTTATTTAATTAATGTTGTAATGATGGTATGGGACAGGGCGATCCAAAGATCCAACTGTTACCACGACAAGGGACACAAGGCAGATTGTTCCACGTCGCACTATCCGTACATGGCGGTGTTCGGCTGCATTCAGATTCTTCTGAGCCAAATCCCTAATTTCCATAAACTCTCTTTCCTGTCGATCCTCGCCGCTATCATGTCGTTCGCTTACGCATCTATCGGCGTCGGTCTGTCCATCGCTGCCGTCGCAGGTACTCTTCGAGATTCGGTTCGGTTATAGCAAAATGTGAAAAAACCAGTTCTTATATCATGAGTTTGAAAAATGTTTTTTAATTCGATTTTTTCTCTCTAGTTTTTAATACTCGAACCGGTTCTGGTTTAGGGACTATTTTGATTTTTTCGGTTTGATGTGGTTCGGCTTTAATAATATCATTTCTAACATTATATAGATCTATATATATATTATCAAATCTAAATATTTCATAACACTATTGTATTATAATCTTCTTAAATTTTCTCCGCACGCAGGTGGGCAAACCGGGAAGACGAGCTTGACGGGAGTGCAAGTCGGGGAGGGGATAACGGCGTCGGAAAAGGTCTGGAAAACGTTTCAGGCGGTCGGAGATATCGCGTTCGCCTACGCTTTCTCGACCGTTCTCATCGAGATTCAGGCAAGTTTGTTGTCGGAAAATATATGAATTATGGTCACAACACAATACAATGAATGGCAGTTGCGTATAAGATATGATGGAGAGATTATTGACAGTGACAATTAGGTTCTCTATGGACCACATCGTTCTTAGCCTTATCATGCACTCACCCACCACCACACATCCTAAGATTTTGTTGATAAAATCACTCATTTTTCGAAAAAATTTTCGGTTTCTTGATTATTTTTTTCCTCCATCCGGTTTGGTTCGGTTTAGATTCTTTAATTCGGTTTTAAAAAATTCATAACCATTCGATTTTTATATCGGATTCGGTTTGAATATAATTGTACATTCTTCAGTTCAGATCGGTTCTTCTATTTAGTTATTAACCAAATTCGTCACCTCTAATATTGAGGGTTTTATCGACGATTTTAGTCTACGAATCGGGTTTTCGGTGATTTACATAATATTTCTAATGTATCTCGGGTCAAACGAATCGGGGTTTGGGTGATTTACGTTAGAGATATAACGTATTTCGGGTCGAATGAATCAGGTTTTCGGTAACCTTAAGGCAAATCTGAAACGTGTAATTTTGGATGTGAAAAATGTGTTACTTTTCAGGACACACTAAGATCAAGTCCAGCGGAGAACAAGGCAATGAAGAGGGCGAGCCTTGTCGGAGTGTCGACCACGACTCTGTTCTACGTCTTGTGTGGCTGCGTGGGTTATGCCGCTTTCGGAAACGAAGCTCCAGGGGACTTCCTTACCGATTTCGGGTTTTATGAACCGTTTTGGCTCATCGACTTCGCCAACGCCTGCATAGCCTTCCACCTGATCGGGGCTTATCAGGTACTCAAACATCGTTGTTTTCTATAGGAGTTAGCACAGCTTGGATACCCGAGTTTTTTGGCGTACCCGACCTTGGTCTTGCCTTGTCGGGTTTTTTCGGACAGGGCACTCAAAACCCAGAGATCATTGTCATTGTCGATAGGAGTGGCAGTGCCGGGTACCCGAGTTTTCTAGTATACCCAACTTTGGTCTCGCCTCCTTGGGGTTTTTCGGTCAGGATACTTAAAACCCAATAACATAGTTGTTGTCAATAGGAGTGAGTACGGATCGTCTATCCGAATTTCGGATACTTGCTTGACAGATACCCGCTGTCTCGGGTACCCATGCCCAACCCTAGTTGACGGTCAATTCACATCATTTTTAAGTGTCGATAACAAATGTGTGCATTGCTCTCAGGTGTTCTGCCAACCGATTTTCAGCTTCGTGGAGAAAAAATGTGGCAGGAAATGGCCCGAAAGCAAGTTCATCACGGCGGAACACGGGCTAAACGTACCGTTGCTCGGCAAATTCCACATCAACTTCTTTAGACTGGTGTGGAGGACGGCGTACGTGATCGTCACAACGATCTTGGCGATGATATTTCCCTTCTTCAATGCAATCTTGGGTCTGATCGGGGCAGCCTCGTTCTGGCCATTGACGGTTTACTTCCCGATCGAAATGCACATCGCTCAATCGAAGATCAAGAAATTCTCGTTCCGATGGACATGGCTGAAGATCCTCAACTGGCTCTGCTTCGTCGTGTCTATCGTTGCGGCGGTAGGATCTATCCAGGGACTGATACAGAGTGTCCGGACTTACAAGCCTTTCCGACCGATCCATGAATGATTTGTTAAACCTCTATCTCTTCTTCGTGAGAGTTTTAGGAGAAAATCCTCATTCGAGAAAACATATAACAGTTTGTGTTTTTCAAATAAGATACTGTACTCAACATTTTATATGCAGGTTTCTGTTATTCCGATCATGAACAAACCGAACTAAACTGGAACCGAAATCGAAACCAAGATCAAACCGGACAAGAACAACTCCATTGTTACAGTCCTATGGCTCAGAGTTCTGAAGATATGAGGAAAGTTTCATGCCAGAAGAACATCAATGTTGTGAACTGCAATAACCCATAATATTTCATTTGAATAAAAAAAGAAACCTTACATCATAAATCAAAACTACAATGAACAAACCATGATCGCTGAATCAAAGCATCAATGCTCTGTTTCAGTTCCTTCTCGAATGGAATCACAAAAACAGTGGCAGTAACCTAAGCAATAACATAACCAAGCCACGTGACTGTACAGAGAAGATCAAAAGCGATGGCTACAAGCGACAAGGCGACATACGAGAGAGTGCCCACTTCGTATCTGTGTCTGTGGAAGAGACAGAGATAGATCAATCTCAGGACAAGTATCAGTAGAACCATCGTCTCGGAAGAAGAAAATGCAAGAACAGTTGATGAACCGAGGGAGTGAACACGCACGAATCCGCGGCGGAGATTCCAAAGGCTGAGACTTTGGCGGCGGAGAAATCATGGGTTTATCTTCGGTTCCGCCGAAAATATCTACGAGTGATGGAAAATTTAGAGTCAAGCTTTATCTGAAAGAAAGAGAGTTGACGAGGAGATTGACGGCTCCCACTGTGACGTCCTTGCTTAGCTCATCCCACGGCCCACGCTAATAAGTGAAATTAGCGAATGATTCCGACTTGATTCATAATTAAAAAATCAATCTATTATAATTTTTCTAAAATTAAACAAAGAAGAAAAAAACATAAAAAAAATGAAAATTTACTTTTATCAATAATTTCTTGCATTGTCACAGTTCAAATAAAGATCCAAGAACCTGGAGGATGATGCAATATCATTGGTTTAACACTGCAGCAAATCTGTTTTATAATTCACGATGAATATAGTTGAATCGAAGGCCAACTGAACCGATCTTAACAAAAAAAAAATCATTGGCCAAAAGTATGGATGAACATTTTGTATTCGTTTTTAGAAATTAATTGGAGTAAGATTGTTTTTCAATTTAGATAGATATAGTTAGACCAAAGGTTATTGGCAAAAAAATAAGGGTGGACATTTCGTATTTGGTTTTAGAAATTTAATTCTATATCCATTGGGGTTTGATGCTACACCACCAAATTTAAAACAAGTATTAGACCGTCCGTCTATAGAAAACGATCTCAGCCATATATATATATAAATGGTGTTGAAACTTTCTGTAGGCGCTGCCCCAGGTCAGGTAAACGCTGCTGACATTGCTTTGAACCGTAACAGAGGTTGTCTGCTCGGTTTAATCACTCACCTTTTCACGTCTGCAGAAAAAATGAGTATAAAACCTCACACGTAGATATGGTTGCTGTTCCAAGAAAGAAGCAGATGAGTGTTTTTCTTCACCGTTCTCCTTCTGTTGGCCAGAACTATGAAATGTACTTCTTTATCTTAGGAGGACTACACATATTTCTGTGACTTTCCCCCCCTTTTTTTCCTTCACTTCGAACGCCTACATTTCCTAGAGGGTATTTATTATCTACAAAAGGACAGATACTCCAAAGCAACCATATATTCCCCCTCTTCAAAGGCACGGAATCTCGTTACCATATGCTCCCTCCTGATCCCCGTACCACGTTGTCAAGATGGATGGCTGTTCCAAGAAGTTTGTTCTGTCTGAACAACTCATGGAGTGAAGATATATGGAGTGCAACTCCTCCACCTACTTAAACCTGAGCTCTGCGTTCGGTCACGAAAGCTCAATCAGCTTTGGAGAAACACTGGGGCTAGTACAGGGCTTGATCTCAGCACATTCGCCGCTTTCTTCTTTCTCTTCATTGCTCTGGAAAACCTCCCATAATTCTTTACCTTTGCCGTTCTCTCCACCTGAAAAGTAAAGAATATCAGAAAAGAACTTAAGTATGATTTTTATTTTAAAAAACATGTAAAAAACCGACTCCAATAACAGACAACCCCCCCCCCCCCCAAAAAAACAAA